AACAATAATTTTGATAATATAATATACATATATAAATGATGTATATATGTAATTATATTTATTTTTTTATTGAACAATTTAAAATTTACCATTTATTGAACAATTTAACAATTATTGAATAATCTAACATTTTAACATATATGTTTTATCAAAATTAATGTTTTATTAATATACTTTTGATAAAACATATATACATTTTAACATTAATTGTGAAATAAAAAATAGTTTTGACAATATAATATACATATATAAATAAATGTACATATGTAGTTTTTAATTTAAAGTACGAAACTGTTCAATAAAAATAACTAAATATAATTACATATATACATTCATTTATATATGTATACTATATTATCAAAATTATTGTTTTATTTCACAATTAATGTTAAAATGTATATATGTTTTATCAAAATTAATTTTTAATTAATATACATTTTATATATTAAATTTTGTATACATATATAATTAAATGATATATGAGTTATTAGTTATTATTAATATATTTCAAAAGATTATAAATGTTTTGAACTAATATAAATCTGTTACATTACTGATATGGTAGTAGTAGCACAATGGTCTCTGTTTCCTTTGTTGCTCAAGTGAGACATGGGTTTGATTCCCTGAAACTATTATTTTTAGAATAATTATTATTTCAATTCGGAACGGAAAACGACGTCGTTTAAAATTTTCCATTTAGAATAAACGATTGACTAACAGTTTAGTTAGTCAAAATAGGATTTTGTATAGTCAAAATAGGATTTTGTATTACGTTGTTAAGTTTGGGTAGGAATTTAAATAATTTACCGGTTTAGGTATGAATTCGCACTTCCTCTTTTTTCAGGTATGAAAACACACGATCAAAATTGTTTGATCGAAAAATGACATTTTCCCTTCAAAATTCAACTATCCTTAACGATACATGATTGATGTGTTTACGTATCTCATTCGTAATCGCAACTCTTTATAACGTCATTGTTTTCTTTTGCCAATGGTATGTGGAAAAAAAGTTAAGATAATGCCAATCTTAAAAAGAATGGTGAACATAATAATGTCAATCTTATTCAGGGTAGGAACTTAGATTTTTCCATATAATAAACGACAATTCTGAAATTAGCTAATTAAAAAACATGCGTAAAGTTACTTTCTCACTGAATAATGTACCTAAATCTTCTAGAGTCTTCTTCTATACTGCCCATAACAAATCTTAGAATAAAATAACATGTGTTTGATGTTGGAGAGATATCATATCTATGATGAAACACTTTGGTGATGATATTGATAGCTAAGAATTTTAAACAATAAAAAACCCTGAAACGCGTCTTGATGCAGTTCACATTGCACATGTCACTCGAGAAGACTTGACTCTCAGATCTTTCTACGAGCTTGTGTTCACACTTCGCCACGCTCCGCTGAAGACGATTTTATTTTATATTTTCTAATTTACCAGATGATTTACCAGTTCAGGAAAAACAAAAATTGTTATATTTGTCCTGTAATACAAATTGAGCATTGACTGGTTGGTGCGTGGTGAGATTATAGGACCACGTTATACTGCTTGTTTGGCAATTCTTATACAAACCTCTTTTGTTATTTCTTCATCTCTTCTTCGTTTGTCCTTTTCATTATTTACTTACATTGGTTGTTAATGATTTGATTAAACAAGAACGTGGACCAATCGTTTGGTCGTAATTGAAAGCACTGATCATCGACCACCAATAATGGAGCTGGAATTTGGTTTCTAGAGTTACGTGAATAGCATTCGTTCGAATCCTGGCATTTTTTTTAGGTTTATTTACCAAATAACTAGAAAAAAAAGTTAGATTTTTAAGAGAGATATAGAAAGAACAAAGAAGAGAAAAAGTGTGAATTTGGTTATCTTGTGTATTTGTGTTTTTTTATGGTTATAGAGGTAAATTTCTTTTTTTTTATTGGCATCTGTGTTTATTTTTGTAAAAATTGAAATGAAAAGGAGAAAGAGGATAGAAAATCAAATTAACAAATGAATACTCTTAGGTTTAATTTGATTAAACGGAGTGCTAAATTTCTATCCTTTTTTTTAACACAACTAAAATTTCTATCCTTTTAAAACAAATTAAAGATAGTTATACTCAATAACATATCTAATTAAAAGAGTGATAATGGATTAGACACGCGCACACGCTATTAATAGCAAGATTCCATTGGAATCACAACCACATGAAAAGATGACAAGATGGAGGAAGGTGGTGAGTGGTTTAATTAGGCTTTACTAATTATGGTGATGTTAAAACGTGATGATGATGTTAAATCGAAAGAGGGTCAAATAATAGGGTATAATTAGGTCAAAGAGAGTCGATGTGGTTGTCGTTGATTGGCATCAGATATCTTAATCACAACTTGTGTCTATTTTTATGAGTCCCTTGGATCTCCATATCTTTTTGGACGGCGGGACACCTTCTCCCTTCTTTTTCTAATTATGTTTTAATCCAAAGCTTATTTAATTACATCAAATTAAACAAACTTATAATAATTGATTCATAGGTAGCACGAACTGAATACTTGAATTTTTTTTCATCAACAGAGCATATAATTGGATATATCTAGCATTATAAATTTATAACAAGTATAAATGAGTCACGCTGGAGTCAAAAAGAACGAGGCGAGGATCGTGCTAAATCCCCACACGACAGATGAATAGCTTAAACGTTATGTATAAGAGCATAACCACAACAGAAAGATAATTAATTAGTCGGTTCCCTGTCAGTTGTTAATTAAGAATAATCTAATCTCAAACCGTCCATTTGCTTTATATATTCTGTAAAAAGGCTTCTTCTCCTTTCTTCTACTCTTGTGTAAATCAATATGGTGTAGAATCAGATGGATGAATTATTAAACCCAAACCGTTTACTAAACAATAATTGAACAGTACTTAAAAGTTTGATTAGACCATATTTTTTGCTATTTTCACCTCTAAATAGAAGAGTTTTACAATAGAGATGGAAATACTATTTTTTTTCTATAAATAGAAGAAAAAATAGAAATCTTAACTATAGAAGAAAAAATATAGGGATTGTAGCAATTTTACCTCTAAATACTATTATCTACTCTATTAAAATAGAGTAACTATTTTTATCTACTACAAAGAAGTCATATATGACCAATTCATTAATCACTTAATATGACACATTAAATTATTTAGGTTAATCAATCAAATAATATCATATATGTTGAAAATAATAAATTTATATTTTATTATTAATTATAACAGAATCGGTTGAGAGAAAATCTAACAAAATCTTACTAAAAGTTTAAATATTTTTTTATTAAATAACATAATAATGAATTTCGTATCATACTATTATACATTAATATTAATTAAAATTTCACTATAATAACAAAAAAAAATCCTATACTATTTTATAAATTTCATATTATAGTCTATGTTATATTAAAATAGAATTACACTATCAGAAAGTTTTACTAATTCAGAAGATATTAGTGGAAAATATTTTTAATTGAAAATTTAATATTCTTATTATAAAATATTATGTTGAGAAAATATAAAAAAACATTTTATATTAATAATGTTGAATAACAACGTAAAAATTAAATAATATTATATATTAATAATGTTGAATAAAAATCTACACCAATTAGATTATAAATTTACCCAATATATAACATAAAAATATAAATTATATATTTAAAATATTTACATTAATATTAAATAAATTTTTAAAAATGAAAATATACCCGCACGTTCGTGCGGGTAAAAACTCTAGTAGAAATTAAAATAGCAATGAATTGAAAATACTCTTAATATAACCCAAAGAAAAGTATCACAATTTTCTCTTTTCTTTTGTAAACTGTCCAATACCTATCATGAGGTTACTAAGACCAGCAACTAAGATGAAAAAAGACCGAACATAGCAAGACATATGCATTGAACTCCTAACTTTAAGGATTAATATAACATACTTTAACCACTAAACTAACGAATTTGAAGTTTAAAACTGAAATATTTTATAAAATAGAAAGCAGAAGTCCATGTTTCTTTGGCTTTTCCTCAAAGCCGGCATGAAACTGTCACAATTGTTTCTATGTTCTCAGTCACAACTTCAAAAATATTTATTTAGTTAGTAATATTTATTTAGTTAGTAATTTAGTTAGAAATATTTTATAAAATAGAAAGCAGAAGTCCATGTTTCCTTGGCTTTTCCTCAAAGCCGGCATGAAACTGTCACAATTGTTTCTATATTCTCAGTCACAACTTTAAAAATATTTATTTAGTTAGTAATTTTTGTGTTTCATAAAAAATATCATTTTAAGATTTTAAATTTATTTTATAAAGAATGAGAATTGGCATTTTTAATCTACATTTATAGACAAATATTGAAAATTTTATAAAACAGAAGAACTAATAGTATGAGTTATGATATCCGGAGATTTCATAAAGTGGTGACTGGTGTGTCTCTCCTAAGATTGAATTTTTGGAGTTAAATGTGATTTATATAAGAATAAACATTCGAGTATTACCATGACATCCCACGTACCACGAGAACCGTGACATATTAGATGCCATCATTTTTTCCCGTTTTAGTTATGGTTCCAAAACTCAAATCATTGATTTGGTTTGGTCTTTGGGAATACAGAGTAGCCAAAGGTTAGAGCGTCATCACCCTCTTCCGTGTAAATTCTTCAACCATGAACCGTTTTTGACTCTCTTTTTTCCTCCTAATTTCATACAAGAACCGAAAAAGCTGGAGGGTCCTTTGGTAGGGGGAGGACAATGAAAATACAAAATTGTTTGGGAACGTTTGTAATAAAATGAAATTATTTGGGTGAATACTGAATAGAATATGAAGGTGGAAAACAAAAGAAAAGGACTGATGTTGACAGGGTTTAAGTTTAACATAAAAGCAAAGAAAAGGGTCCCGCAACACGTGGCCTGTGTGTCATTCATCTCTCTCTCATCGTCTTGCATATATAAATAGAAGAGCAGAGCTTAGCAGAAAAACAAAACAGCAAATCCCTAAAAATTCAATCGGATTCAGCAGCAGGCAGCAACACACTCTCTCACATCTTGTAGTAGAAGAAGATGGGGTTACAAGGTCAACTCTCCGACGTCTCCACCGATTCAATCCCTCTCATGCTCGTCGCTCTCCTCGCTACTCTCTTCAAACACGTCCGCTCTTTCTTCCTCAGATTCTCTAATCCTCACACATCCGTCGACGATGCTGCTGCTTCTTCTTCTGCCTCGGTTACTTCAGGACTCGCGAACCTCGCCGTACTTGCGGACCAGCTCAAACTCAACAGACTATTCTCTTACAGCTACGTTGATAACGCTGCCTCGGACTGCATCGTGTGTTTGTCTACGCTTAAGACGGGAGAAGAAGTGAGGAAGCTTGATTGCAGACACGTGTTCCATAAAACTTGTTTGGAAGGTTGGCTCCAACATCTTAATTTCAACTGTCCGCTTTGTAGATCTACCTTGCTTGCACATGAAGGTGAACCGATCTCTTCTCACTGAATTTGTCTTTATGACAAAAAAAAAGAAGGAAAGAGAGAAGAAGAGTTTGGGTGTTTTTAATCTCGTTGCTTTCTCCTCTTTTCTTTTTGGGTTTGTGATTATTTCCTTAAAATTGGTATTTTTCGAAATTCACTTCTTTATATATGTTTTTTTTTTGTTTGAGGGATCGAACGGATAGATAGTGTGTGTTGATGTAAATCTTTAGTATGAGAAGTGTTGTTTTAGTCTTTTGTGTTTAGATTTGTATCTTGTTCAGATTTTAGAAAACCAAAAGCTTTGCATTTGTGACATTCCTGCATTTACCTTATATCCAGTCCTGGAATTAAACACACCAGCAATGGCATTTGCCATGTGACCCTATGTCTATAGTTTTGCACTCAAATTCAATGCCATAGGGCCTTCCTATTTAGAGCCCAACCCAACCAGAAGTTAATCCTAATTAAGATTGATTAACCCAAACACACAAGTCAACAGATATCCTCCTATATATTAAACGAGAAGTCACTTTAGTGATTTCTGGTGACGTGTCGCTCATAGGTGAAGTTTCAAGAAATTGTTATAATTTGATTGGTCGATTGTTCTTAATTTTTATTTATTTAATTTAGATCTAAAAATTTATGGTAAGTCTAAAATCATTTAACATCACTTGCCATATAATCTAAAGAATATTACAAATAAAAATTTATGGAAACTAATTCTCAAAATTATAGAAAGATTAATAATGTTTTATTTATTACTTTTAATATTTATAAAATATAAAATATAATGAAGGATATTTTATATAAGATAATTATAATAGTTTTATACTCTACTTGATGAACTGTATTCAATATAATTATATAATAACTATTTTAAATATTACAAAATCCAAGCATGTTTATAATATTATTTTTAAATTTTTTAGCTTTGTTTAAAGAATAATTTTATCTGATAAAACCTACTATATATTGATTGAGAAATAACATAAGTGATTTTTTATTACGTACATGGACTCTTCAAATTGTTATAATTTGATTGGTCAATGATTTTTTTATTTTTTATTATAATTATGTCTTAACGATAAGTCAATTACAACTTTCCAAATAAGCTACTTAATTTAAGAAGTAATTATTTATGGTAACTAATTGTTGAAACTATGAAAAGTAATATTGTGATCAATTTTTTTATATATTTATAAATTACATAAATTAATAAACAAAAAAAATTATTTGAATTGATATAATGATTTTATATTCGTATAAAAAGCCTTATATTTGTATATAAAGTATTATAATAACTATTAATGTTTAATAAATTTCATGCATGCTTTATAAATCATTTATAAAATTATAAATAAATTTATAAATTATTTACATTGCCTTATCAGATGTTTTAAATTATTATAAGAGGTTCTAAGTCATTTATAGAAGCTTATATATTAATTTATAAAATGTATTTTGAAAATTTATTTTATATTAAATGAGGACTCACTTAATTAATATTTGTAGGTGTCTTTGAGTTTTAGAAAAACTATTATATCTTGATTCTTGAATAAATTTTATATTTTTTTATTTTATGAGTAAGAAAATCACTTCTAGAACCAATTTTTACCAGTATCCAAAAGATATAAAAATATTTCATAAAATATTTTATGATAACTAAATATGGGATTTATATAAAATATATGTAATGCTCATAAAATCATTTTATTACTCAAGTATTTATAAACTATATAATATATTTCAAAAGTAATTTATATAATTGATATAGTAGTTTTATATTTACTCCTATGTAGTTGAATATGAATATATAGAGAATGTGTAACAATCATATTGATTTATCTTTAAATTTTAATAAAGACATATGACTTTAGCTATAAATGATTTAAAAATCAAATTTTTCAATACTACATACCTTCAAAACTCATTTATATTAAAAACTGAATTATGAATATTATATAACTAATTTTAGTAAAACATTTAAATACAAAATATCAACAGATATTTAAAATAGTCATAATCATATTTTTCAAAAATAATTATTCTTTAAATATATTTAACAGTAACACACATAAAAAAAAATTTGATGATGAAAAAATATCTTAATTGGACAAAATATAATAAATATATTGTTACAAAACATTCAAACCCGCAAAATTGCGGGTATCCACCTAGTATCTAACTGAAACACACAGTTTTATTGATTTGTTATAAAATATTGTCTTTCGTTTAGTCGGATCTCGAAGATTCACTATTTTTATAAGAAAGAAAAAGACAAACTTGGGAATTGGCAAATCACATGCCTCCCGGCTTGAATCTGTTAAACAAGTCATTTAGTTGAGCTCAGATTCTGCAACTAATCTCATTTTCACATCAAAAAGTCAATTATTGAATCACAATCATTCAACTTAAAACCCCAAATGGGAAATTTCTGCATTTGTCATCTACTTACACAAACATGAGGTTTTGAAATTTGGAATAGTGGACGACTTGTTTGTATTGTAGTGCGCAAGTTGAATCCTACAGAATATTTCACCACACATGAAATATTATCATACAATTACTTTTTTCTTCCTTTTTCAAATCTTCCTCTCTAGGCCTTCTGGTACAAAATATAATTCTCAAAGATATCAGAACTAACACAAATATAAGCTAGACTCATTATTGAATAATTAGGCTTAAGCATTGGCTTGTGACTATATTATTATTTTGATTTTTACTGTTGAGTCAGCACTGATATGTATGTATGAAAAAAAAGATTATAGGTTTATGTTGTTTGGGTGAATTGAACCGATAATATGAGCTCGCTTTATTTAGCACATGTTCACATTGTTTGTGCTAATGAAATTCATATTGTTAACAGTTGTGTTTTAAATCGTTTGAACTTATATTTAGTTAAATCTTAACTTTAGAGTTATACAATAAGGTGAGGCTAATTATTTAAAAATTCAACGAATTAAGAATGAAAAAAGTACCAACAATTTATTTAAAATGGTCGGCAGTAACACAACAATATCTCTTATACTTTTACGTCAAGTTTCTAAATATTAACTACTTTTGGTTAAAAACATACATAAGTAATTTTTTATTTATTTAATAGTAATGCATTAAACTTATGAAAACTATTTTAATCACCTAAAATTTTGAATGGTGAGCAATGAATGAAGAAAAACATTGAATTCTTTATCATTAATTAAAAAATCACTATTTATAAAGAATGATTTTCCTCCTTATTCCTTCTCATTCTTTTTTTTTTTAAGCCTATTTCAAATTAAAATAAATAAATAAAAAGACTATTTTAACAATGAGGCATATCAGATAGCATTTTTAGTTTAGGGTTATTTTAGCTGGCCGTCCATAGGTATGAGAATGATGTTGCTCGTTTGTAAAAAACAAGGAATATGAGACTATTTGCCGTTCAAGAAAAAGGATATGATGTTTGTTTGTAAACTCTGTATAGATTAAAGGGTAGACATCTTGAATGCCTTTACTATATATAAATAAGAAAACAAACATGAAACAACACCAAAAGGCTATAAAGTTATTTCAGCTAAGAATGTTGGAGACAGGGCCTGTAAACCAATGGCGAGCGCTTATAAGCCAATACGATAGGATTATGGCCAACAAGCCAGCCACTGCCACTGGAGTATAGTTAAGTGTCTCAGCCGTTATAGGATATGCCACGGGAAGTGAGAAGAGGACGGAGATGGTTGCAACCCATATGACTGCCACCCACCCTACCACCTTTCCGTACCTCCCAAGGCTGAATGGTCCAGCCACAAAGGTTTTGCGTGACAGTGTAACTCTTAGAAAGATCGGTAATGCGTATGCTATGTATAGTCCAATGGTTGCTATCGACACCATTGCTTGGAACGCCACTATGCTCCCCAGTGACTGCCAATTTTATATCAAATCACATCACATCAAACAACAATCCCATCACAAAGACAGACACAGAGAATCGGGCGGCGCTTACGGTGAGAGCCATACAGAATGATATGGAAGCAGAGAGCCAAACCGCATTAACGGGTACATCTCTGCTGTTCACTTTGTGCCATAAGGGAGACAATGGCATTGCTCCATCTCTCGAAAACGCATAAGCCATCCTGATCATATCCCATATATATATATAATCAAAATCCACTAAGTTTCAAACCAAACACAAATACATAAACATACCTAGAATTGCTAGTGACAGAGCTCATGCCACAGAAAAACACAGCAACGGCAACAATGCCTAAGCACACAATTCCTCCAGTACCACTCCCAAACCTGCTCTTGAAAGCTAAGTAGAAGATCTCAGCAATTGCGTACCCACCAGAGTTGTTGGTCTCACTCAGGAGGTAAGGTATGTCTGTGACAGCATAACATAAGCCCAATATATAACCCCATCCAAACAGAATTGATATCCCAATTGCACTTATTATTCCTCTTGGCCCATTCTTGTCTGCATCAATCGTCTCCTCAGTCTACAACCATTTCATCTCACTAATTACATCATCAAGAAAATCTTAACACAATCATTAAAACAGAACACATACTCACCATGTGGGCAGAGGCATCATACCCTGTAATGGTGTATTGACTCATGAGGAGCCCCAAAACGAATATGTAAGCGTAACTCGTAATGCCGAGTCCATTGTCAGTGTTGAAGTTAGTGAAGACAAACTTAGTGGTGGCTCTTTCGGTAGAAACCACCGGAATCAGAATCATGAGCACCAAAACCCCTGAACAAGAGATACTTACTTGGTTTCTTTTTTTAAGACATATATAAACACAAACAAAGAGATGAGAGGTACCAAGTAGATTCCAGAGAGCAGCAAGCTGTCCAATGAAAGACAAGACAGAGATAGGGAGACTGTTGAGAAGTGCATGTACGAACAAGATTCCTCCATGAATAGCAATCACAACATAGTCAGATCCTTCATATCCTCCACCGTTTTTACCACCCGTGGAGAGAAGCACAATCACTTGAATCAGCTGTGCCAGAGAAAAGTCAACGCTAGCCGTCACTGCCCACTGCAAACACACAACATAACTTTTTTTATTTTAAGTCAGACACAAGTAAACAGAATGGTTTACTACACCTGACCAACGATGTTGAACCTGAAAGATTGTGAAAGAAAGAAAATTAGAGAGACGCTTTGCTTTCAAATAAATGATTGAGAGAGAGAGAGAGAAGAGAAGCATGCACCAGCCGGTCAACCAAGAAGCAAGAGGAGCCCATCTAGGCCCAGCAAGCATAGCACTCCAGTAGTAGAGACCACCAGAAGTTGGATACGAGGAGCAGATCTCAGCCATTGATAATCCCACACACATAGTGAACACTCCAGCCACGAACCATCCATAAACCAGAGTAACCGTGCCGCCAAATCTCAAACCGGTGTTATACGTTGTAGTTATCCCGGTCAACACCGAGATGATGGAAAAGGAGATGGCGAAATTTGAGAAGACCCTGAAAAAAAAGTCAAATGTTTTAGCTTCATAGATTAAAAGTCAGAAGTGGACAAATAAAAGAAAGGGAGGAGACAGACGAGAGATCACGCTTGAGCTCTTGCTTGTAGCCGAGCTCCTTGAGGCGGGCTTGGCCGGAATCCATGGAGGGAGTTAAAGACTGATCTCCGGAGAAGCCGCCCATGGTTGAGTTTCTCCCTCCAAAGGTTGTTGAGATGTACGAAACGAATGGTAGATATTTATTCTGTTACACACATAACATACCCCTCACAAAGAAAGGTCCAATATTTTGCCTTTTTTCTTTTAAAGTTTAAACTAAATACAAAAAGAAACAATCTTTTATTGGTAGCTGTCTAAATACGACCAAAGTACCAAACTCTATTACTTGGCATCTTTGTTTCTTTTGGCAAAACAGCTGTTTCAACTAGAATCTCGACATTCTCCAGTCAAAAAGAGTAGATTTACTTACAAATGTCAAAAGAGTACACGTAGAGGTTAAAACTTAAAACACACACACACTCTCACCACAACAAAAATGAAAATACTAAATAATAATGAAATAAAGAGAATTAAATCATCTTGGAACAGTGGAAGTGCCAGACTCCATGTTTTCAAGAGAAGTTGGTTCCACCTGTAAAGACATTGTCCTCAACGCATCTCCGTTCTGTTGTCCTCCTCCTCGTTCCTGTGCCGCTACGAAATAAGCGTAAGGACCCCATCCTTCATCATGGTAAGGATTAGGGTAAAACTGACGGTAACAAAAGCCAGCAACAAAAAGACCAATAAGTCCTCCAGCAAACACATCTTGCCAATGATGCCAATAGTCATCAACACGAGATATCCCCACAAGACAAGCCGCAAGCAAAGGAACAAACACAATACAAAGCTTAGCTACATGTCCTTCTCTATTAAAAGCCTTGAGTTTACCAGACAAGTAAAGCGAGAGGAACCCAAGTCCCGCGAATGACCAAGAGGTATGTCCACTAGGGAAGCTTTTATGACCTTCTTTAACTTCTTCTGGCTCACCATGACATAACACACCACCCAAAGCATCGAAAACCTCTTTCCCGTCAGGGAAGCAACGCCAGTAAAAGTTAGGACGAGGACGTCCCGTTGCTAGCTTGATGGAGTCTGTAATGACACCAGTTATCAAAACTGTGAATAGAAGGCCGAGGATACTGTTGTGGAGATCGTAGACGCATGTTCTCTTCATGTAGAAGCAGACGAAGACTATGATTGGGAGAAGGACAGCGTAGATTGGGACGGACCAGATAGGGATTGTGTTGTCGTTGAAAGGGTATTTGAGATCAGTCATCATGTCTTTACCAACGAATCTGTAGAAAGGAGAGATGAGTTGTAAGCCTATCTCGATGGCTATTAAGATGACGAGTATGATCCAGTCGTGTTTGTGTTTGGAGGCGAGACCTCCTCCGTGGCTTCTTATTGTGTGAATGCCGAGATCTATCTCTTGCATCCTTCCTCTCTGTGGCTCTTGTTCCTGTTTTTTAAAATATACACACAAAGCAGAATCGAGTTAGACTTGTAGAAATCTAATTGGATCAATAAAGGGGTTTATGTGTAAGAAATTAATACTACTTGAGGATTAGGGTTTGAAGTCTCTGTTAATAACGGAATGTGATTCATTCTCAATCGCAAAGTTTCTCAGTATTATCATTACTTTGTTATTATCACGACATATACATCCAGCCATTCTTGTCTGTCTGGTTCGCTGTGCTAAGACCCATTAACTATATTTTCGTTGACTTTAAACTAACTTAGCAAGTTGACTTTCTTCTTTTGAAAATAGAAGACAAACAACGAAGATTTCATTTTCACCCCCCAAAAAAGTGGAACAAACCACAACCAAATTGTAACATTTAAATTTCTTTTCTAAGAAAAAGAAGACAGACGACGAAGATTTCAATTAAGAAGTGGAACAGAGAGAGAAGAGTCTCGATTAGGTTNTTAAACTAACTTAGCAAGTTGACTTTCTTCTTTTGAAAATAGAAGACAAACAACGAAGATTTCATTTTCACCCCCCAAAAAAGTGGAACAAACCACAACCAAATTGTAACATTTAAATTTCTTTTCTAAGAAAAAGAAGACAGACGACGAAGATTTCAATTAAGAAGTGGAACAGAGAGAGAAGAGTCTCGATTAGGTTACCTGAGTCTTTCCCCAGAACTTGAGAGGAGAGAAAAGCGATCCAAGTACCATTAGAACAATGAAGTTTTTGATTAAGCTTCTTCTGTACAGTACAGAGAGATGGAGGCTTAACACAAGCAGTGCGGATCGAAACTAAAAATAGAAACGGAGAGTAGATACAGAAGACGAGAAATGGGAATGGGTGAAGACGCGTTTGGGCTTTGTTTAATTTCGTAACTTTTTTTGTCGGAAACTTGAAAAGAGGCGTTTGTCGTGTCTTGTCGTGTAGTGTCTCTACTTGACGGTTTACAGAAACTGGGGAGGTGATATATAACTTCCTCCCCTTCTTCGTTTACGTCATATTGAATGCCACGTCGATCAGTTTTCCAGTTTGAATTTTTGACTTTTCACCGGGTCTAGTTTGGCTTTCTCTAAGCCGCGTGGTCCCAAATACAGTATACGAAACTCGTAAATCATATCATAATGGGCCTGTACCTGGAAATATCTATATGGGCTTTTAATTAGCCAAATTACTAGGCCTATATTATTGGGCCTACGTTCTTACTTACTTTGTTGGCAACACTCACACTAAATTTAGCGCAGAGAGTTTTGGAAGCAGCCTCTTAATATCTTTCACTGAGAATCATTCGCAAATCACAATGATAAAAAATTCAGATTCGATGCAAACTCTTCTTCAGTCTCTTTCAACTGATATTATCTAATGTATTTATGAATTTGTAATATTCGAGATATAACATTATCGGATCTGTCTCTGATTTTTTTTTAGATGAATACGAATATAAATTCAGATTTCGTTTTAGTTAAGATCCCCCAAGTGAGTCTTGTCAAACAAACAAAAAAGATCCCCCAAGTGTGAGAATCTAAATATCTTTTAGCTTAAAAAAGAAGATAATGAAATTATCCAAATACGGATCTCAATGATGGAGAAAGTAGAAACTACTATTTGTGGGTTCCAGAAAAAAAAGAAGGAAGTTAAGTAATCAGGTAAAAAGTCACGAGTCTGTTTGGTTTTACTACATTTCCAACTTGCTCTGACGTGAGAGATGCTCTGTTAATTTTAGACTTAGCATTTCAAGAAAGGTATTTCATTTCCGTTCTATTTATAACTCTATTTTTTAAAACATTTATTTCCAACAAGTATAAAAAGAAATAAGTATTAAATAAATTTCAAATTACGTACTTAAACATTAAAAATCTAAACCATAGGTTGTTTCCCTAACTTACAAAAAAATCTATATTATAATGATTGAGTTTAAAAGCTCCTTAAGGTGTCCACATGGGCAGATTATGAGTCCCACATTTTTATTTTAAAATAGATAGTTTTTTTAAATTGGCTACAAACAAAGAATATCAGTTTAGCCAAGTGGTCTAAGACCCTATGTTTGGTCACCAAGGACATGGGTTCAATTCCCACTTCTCTCATGCATAAACCAATTAATGTCATCATCATAAAAATATTTTTTAAACACACATAGTCTTGGTAAGATGGTCACAAACAATGAAATACACTTTATCCAAGTGGTATAAGGTGTCTAATTAAGTATGCAAGATTGTGGGTTCAAACCACACAGCTATCATGTATTTTTGATTTTTTTTATTTAGGTTATTATCATATGGGCTTTTTGTTTATAAGGTTCTTATGTTTTTTTTTTTGGCTTATTGTTTTAAAGATCAAAATAGTTGTATAAACCCTAAACCTTAATAAGTTCAAACCCAAAATAGTTAAAAATGAATCCAAAACGAATAATAAAACAAAAAACAAAAAAACAAGTCTCACGTGGTTGTCTACGCGGATGGCTTAAAGAACCTTAAAACTATCCTATTATAATATAGTTCAACCCAAAATTAATAAAAAGTAAATCCAAAAACGAACAGACAAAAAAAAAAAAAAGTGAATTCCACGCGGGTGCATACGTGGATGGCTTAATGAAGGTTGAATAATATAGATTAGGAGCTCAAAAAGTTAAATCATTGCACATATTTCCTAATGTATATTTTGAAAAAATTTGTATGTGAGATGAAATAAAATAAAAGAACAAAAATTAATTATTTTCGTTATTATTAAATGAATATATAATTTCTCTTACATTTTAATAACTACTATAATTTCCTTGATAACATTCCTCACCACCGATTCCAGACTCCGGCGAATGGATTCCCACAGTTGTTGACGCCGTAGATAAAAATGCCACATCATTTATGAACAAAACTCAAACTTACAAAAAACCATATATAAAAGCCTATCTAATGAAACTTAAACAACGAATATTAACTTAATTAAGGTTATTTTCAAATTGATAAATCGTTTAATACAAATATAAATACTATAAATATAGAATTATATCAAGTTTTGATCTACGATATAAANTAAAATAAACAACAAAATTTAAGTAAGTTATTTATTAAATGAATATGTAATTTCTCTTACATTTTAATAACTACTATAATTTCATTGAAAACATTTCTCACCACCGACTCCAGACTTCGGCGAATGAATTCCCACAGTCGATGACTCCGTAGATAAAAATGCCACATCATTTATGAACAAAACCGAAACTTACAAAAAAACATATATAAAAACCTATCTAATGAAATTTAAACAACGAATATTAACTTAATTAAGGTTATTTTCATATTGATAAATCGTTTAATACAAATATAAATACTATAAATATAGAATTATATCAAGTTTTGACATACGATATAAAAACATGAAATTTTTCATTTCATTATTAATTGGTGTCATTAGAAGAATCCACTAAACCAACAATCGGAAAAAATACACGTAAACATAATGATCCCGGCCCCGCGCTTGCGCGGAGAATATGCAACTAGTCTTCAAAAAAGTTGCATTTCCCTATTTTCTTAAATTACCGGGCATATTTCTTCTAAAATTAAACCATTTTAACAAAGTTTAGTTAAATATTTTGAGATCCGTCTCGTAACGCAATCCGTTCCATTTTTATCTGTTTTTTTGTTAAAAGAACATTGTTTTTTTTTTAAAAGAACATTGTTTTTTTTAAAGGAACATTAAGGATGATTTGTTGAACTATAGCTGTAAAAGTTTTAGTGTAAAAGTTAGTCTGTAGAATTTTTTGATTTAGCTGTAAGAGATGTAGCTTTAAAATTTATTACTACAACAAAAAAATTAGTTTTAGAAAATAAAGATTTTACAATCCTTTTTAAAATATTTGGTTGTATCTTTAAAAAATAAGATAAAGCATGATAATTTAAATGATGTAGATAAAAATTAAAACTAAAGTCAGCACTTACAACCCAATCAATCATTTCTATTGTTTTTTTATTCCCAAATACCCATTCTTATTTTCTTCTTTTTTAACATCACCAATTCTTATCTTATACTTGTAAACTTTTGTCCCCGATATTGAAATGCCCAAACTTAGTATTTTTTATCTGAAAAGATTAAGATTATCACTTGGGTTCTCAAATGATTCATTTCCTACTAAGGGGGATTTTTTCGTTTTATTTTGTTTTATTTTTAACTTTTCCATATTCTTTGCATCTTTACCAAACAGTATCTCTGTGATGTGTGGTATTCACTGCTTTGGAAAAATAATAGTAATAATTATACAAACCAAAAATAATGATGAGTAAAAAAATGTGTAGATTATTTTGTCTGTGCGGAATGAGTGGGGTTTGTGGGTCCAGTAAATGGTGGGCTTCTTCTTGGCCCACTCTTAAATTGGAGATACGTCTTTTCTTCACATACATTATGAACTTTTTATACTTTACAGATTTTTTTTTCTTTTTTTTTTATACTTTACAGATTTTACATGATTATTACCTATGCCTTTGCACTCACGACTCAACGAACACCTATTTTATTTGGTGCCGGAACCGGAAAACACAAAGAAGACAGTGGAGAATGCTTCTCAGTCAGTGTCTGCAAAAAAAAAAAATTCATATAATTCTTGTCTTGCTAATGGGAGAATGGATTTAAGGTTTTCTTTTTGTCTTTTTGAGGTAAACAAATAATGTATACAAGGTAAAAAGAGTAAAAAGAAGAAGTCAATTCGAAGGTTTTGAACGACATCTCGGCCTCCGAGACACCAAAAAGTTACAAAAAATAACTGTAAAACGAATAATACTTAACAAGTACAAATAAACATACTTTATACGAAGCTTGTTGCCAGCTAACGTTAGCTGTTTATTTGTTGGACCTACCTTTACTATATTTTTTTAGTTTTCCTTCATTTCTGCCTTTCATTTTGCTTAAACATCGTTTAATCATCTCATCACGCACACGCACTCACGTCTATTTTGTATATTTGATCAATTACTCACGATATAGAAAGTGAATACACAATAATAGAATGCACAAGTTTATGTATTCTCTTCAGCAATTATATGTTCCAGTTTGATTCCCATTCAAGTTTAATCCATCATCTTATGTTTATGCAACTTTGCTTTAATTCTATCGCAAAATGTTTTATTTTAATATATGAAGTGGATAAGTCAATGTTTTATTTCCATGATATGTTAACGTGGTGGACCATCCAGGAACTAGTCCTGTATTCATGTATCTGTATGTGTAAATATATCCCGATGATTAGGAGATGAAAGGAAAGTATCTAACCATTTTTGGAATTTCAGACCTCACATCTCTGTAAAAAAAACAACCTCTTTTGGATGCATATGTGATCTTATCGTTCATTTGTATTAAATTAACGAACTTTAGTTTTTCTCTTGACCAAAACGTAACGTTAGTTTTGAAGTGGACGTTACTCGCTTTTTCTTGATAGATGCTCATTTGCTTTTCTTAAAAAATTTTGTAATCTTTTTTTTTTTTTTTCTTGAAAAAAAGATATCGATTGTTGGCATCTTCTTCACCCAGCGAATTATCTAATCAGGTCATGTGTTATTATTGGCATAGCAAGAGAGTTGACCTGGTGGTATAGATGATAAATTTGATAGATTTAAGTTTGACGAAAACTCAACAAAAATAAAATAATGGACGGAAGGTAATGAACATATGCAAATTTTTTATGAACAACAAATTAAGCTGGATAATGAAATGTAATCTGCTAGATAATGAAATGTAATACAGTATGTTGGAGTTGGTTGTAACTATATTAAGCTTTGGTATTACTTGCAAGTTTCGGTTTGGTTTGGACCTCTCATATAGTTTCTTAATTAATCAACCAACACCCTCTGCTAGATAATGAAATGTAATACAGTATGTTGGAGTTGGTTGTAACTATATTAAGTTTTGGTATTATTTGCAAGTTTCGGTTTGGTTTGGACCTCTCTTATAGTTTCTTAATTAATCAACCAACACCTACCCACCCACCTTCTTTAATTTCAATAACATGAAATTATAATACTAGTCTTTATTGAAAAGCTTTATCCACAAGCTGTATAGTAACATGATTTTTATATCCTCGTATAGTTATTTTATATAAAAATGGCTATCATCATTCATCTTTGATTTCGGATGTGATTCGGCTTAAACCCTACGTTCTTTACGTCGTCCTTTTTTTTTAAAAAAAAGAAAGAAAACACTCACGGATTAATGTAGTAAAGGGAGTAAAGTGTAAGTGATTAAAATGGTGAGGGGTAAAGTGCAAAAAGTTAGATTAAGGTGAGGGATTTATTGATTATATATTTATTGTTTTTCTTTTAGCAAATTAATTGTTTATAACTTACAGTTGGTTATAAAACTGTAACAAAGAGGCTGCTTGCATGAGCGCCGCCTGGAGCTTTGACGCGACTGCTACACCCAAATCACGTTCCTTTGACGCATCTAAACGGTGTCGTTTTTGTTTTTCGATCACGCCTTCCTACCAATTTTCTGCTTTTTTCTTCTTTCTTTTGAAAGCATTTTTATGCTTTGCTGGTAAAGAAAATTAAAAGGAAAAAGTCACGCGGAATGGTGATGACGTCACTTAGTGGAGATGGCTCTGCCACAGTTACGTTAAAACCGCGTGTTTGGTCAAAATATGATAAAGAAAACTCTATTTTGATATATATAACGGACGTAATTTATTTATAATTTACTAGGGGAGGTGCGCGTTACGCGCATGATGTGATTTCTATGTAGACAATTTTATTCCATTTTTTTATCTGTCAATTTATTTTATTCGGCCTTCAGCGTTTTTTTTAATTTTTATTTTTTTATTTTTTTTCTTGGACCATTTTTTTATATTGTTGAAATATATAATTTTGATCATAATGTAATAATTTATTAATTATGAAAAATAATTTTTAGTACAGAAATTTAAAAATTCGATTTCATAATATTGAAAACAATTTATTAGAAGATAAAATAAAGTATTTATGAGTAGAACATAACATAAAAAGACCTGGAGGTTATTTTCTCCTAAAGTTCGGTACATGTTATTGAAAAGATTGTCTCTCTACATAGAGGATAGCTATCGTTGATTTTGACCCAATTAATGATGCATTCATGATGATATATGTGACCACATCGCAATGAATTCATATTTTGACCCTCTAAAATTATGTCCATGCATATGGTACATTCTTCGTACTCATCTTTTGTTGTTTGTATTTTCACATCAGATTCCACAACTGATGCAGCAGTTTGTATCTCCATCATGTAAACTGAAGAAGGATTAAAATGAGTCAAATGTAAAATAATGTGTACATTTGTTTGTTCATAGTTGTTGAGAGACGAAACCATTTCCGATACATATGTTGACGTTTTCTCAGCAATTCTCAGGCAAGAATAAGTGCTGATGTTCTGACATATGAGCGTGGACTGTAAATGTTGAATCCGTAAGGGATCCAACATTTGTAGTTGCAAATTCCAGAGGAATTGAATGTTGTCTTCATTGGTATTAAACCGGTGGATATTGATTGTGAGCATCCTTGTAGCACCATATGTCGCATGATGTGTTTCTGTTTCAAAAAATAGTGAATAATCTTGATCTGGTTCCATATTTATGTAAAGGGATGTATTGGTAGGTTGTTGTAATAGAAAACATATACCAACATATTTATATGGTTTTATGTCTACAGTTACATGTGAGATATTTTCTCGGTTTAAAAAGTGTAATTGTTACGTAAATAATAATTCTCTCTAGGTAAAACTGATAAGCCATGAATAATGTTTGTTGTTATTATTAAGCATTTTAGAGTTTGGGTCAATACCTCATGTCATTAATGTTGGTTATTATGTTTAAGTCGTTTTTTTTCCTTAGCGTGAATTGTTTTTCTTTCGAAAAATATTATTTGTTTTTTCTTGTAATTGTTAGTACATGTGAAAGTTTAATAAAATACAATAATGAAATCATAAATTTGTAAAGCATGATGCATCATAATACGTATAAAGCATCTCCACAAGTTTAAACCATTATCTTGAGTCATTTTTTTGTATGTTTGGTATATCGAGTTTTTATACCTAAATTTAAAAACATATATATACTTAGGAGACCTGATCATATTAATTCTCATATGAATGTATGAAAAATAGTTCAAATTGGAGAACACACAAGAAACGTTACTATATTTCTATACAGTAAATGTAAACAGCTATAGAATAAAGTGAGGATTATATCAGTATGAAATGCCTCATAGAATAAAGTGAGGATTATATCACCTGGGAGTTGAGTGTTAGAGCTCGCCAACCCGAGCATATCGCTGTAATTTCGGAAACGGAATGACTGAAGAGGAATTGGCGCAGACGTTTCGGCGATCTTAGTGAAAGAAGTAGTCTCGCTAANTGTAAACAGCTATAGAATAAAGTGAGGATTATATCAGTATGAAATGCCTCATAGAATAAAGTGAGGATTATATCACCTGGGAGTTGAGTGTTAGAGCTCGCCAACCCGAGCATATCGCTGTAATTTCGGAAACGGAATGACTGAAGAGGAATTGGCGCAGACGTTTCGGCGATCTTAGTGAAAGAAGTAGTCTCGCTAAAGCGGATAAGCAGGGGAGAATCTGAGAGACGATAGTTCTGACCACAACGGGTCACGTCAAAACCGTTAAGAGAGTAAACTGCACCAGCTTCCAGGTTCGGCTGATGGGTTGAGAGACGGTTCACATGCACAATGGCCGGCACCATGGTCGACTAAACACAATGAACACACGCAAAATAATTAAACGTGAACAACTGAACATGATAATAAACCAATATATAAAGCTATAAAAACCTTTCATCTATAACAAAGAATAAAGTAAGTCGATCAAAGATATCATTGTTTCTACACAACATACATGTCAAAAGATTAAAAAAGTACAGATAATCTTGTAACATATCAGGGATCGTATAAATAATACAAGCAAACCATAATATAATTCTTAATCATAATCTTAAGACAAACTTAGACGATTATTAAAATGGATACTTGAACATGATCACAAAATAGATATGGTAAGTATTAAAAAAAAAAAACTAATGTCAAACCATAAAATTAAACTAAACTAATATCTATATAGGAACTCGGTTACCAATCGAACAAAAATGACAAATGGTCAAATAAACAGATAGCCTTGTATAAGAACAGAGATAGTCATAATAATATGTCATGTAATCCTATAATATGAAACAACCAAAACGTGAACGTCTGACTAATTGTACCAGGTACGAAATCAATACTGATAATAACATTAAAACTTGACCACTAAACCCAGATCGTAAAACCAAACATAGAATACCTTCTAACGGATGCTAATACTCATTATCATCAAAATATTTATAAGATCTACACATCAAACGAAAATCAGATGGATAATATATAAATGGAGCAACCAAAATCATAGTAAAATTAAACGATTTTCCAGCACCCAATCGATTAAACACAACAGAAAAGGATTCAAAATCATCACTTGGGAATCCAAGAGGAGCATGTCCACACCCATGAGCTCTCCACCACGGCGGAAGTTCCTGGCTTCCCAGTAGCGAAGCAGGCGGACTTGGACGGTGGAGGAGGAACGTCCGGCCTGGAGATCGGATAAAAAAACCGTCATGTTAACCATAGCTGGAATTTTCTACAGAGATTTAGTGTTTTGGGATGGAAATCGAGAACGGAGAAGGTCACCATTTTATAGGTAACATCACATCAAGAGCGATAAATGACAGAGTTAAGATGATCAGAGAATATGAATCGATCGCGTCTGATCGATTAGGAGGAAGAAAAACTCGACGGCTAAGAGAGATAAGCTTCAGAAACCCTAATTAACTGATGTGTCACAGTAACAAAAACAACCTAATGGGCTACCGAATTTACATTAGGCCGAGACCCAACATGTGTTGATCCGTTTTGTTTAATTTCATGGACATATGTCACAATATAAAAGAGTCTATTTTGTGACATCATATGCTGAGATGGGTTAAGGAGAAGAGAGTTTTTTCTTCTTTATATATAAAGATATATAGATATATATTACTTTAGCAGCTTCTTAAAAATCTCCGAACAGCCTACGTTTATATCGCATTTAACCTCGTATTGAGGAAAAAAGGTGAACCCATTTCGTATCCAATGCAGACCACTTGGACTACAAGTTCCTGGAAAACTAGCAGTTTAATCTGTCGTATTATACTTATTTAAATTAAACTAATTAGATTTTGTTTTAGTTAGTTTTTTTAATCGTTCCAGAGGTAAGTAAGAAAGAATGTTTAAGAGCTTTGGGTTGAGTTTGAACATTACATGTTAAGGTTATACTATATTAGACCGATCGAGAGTTTTCCATAACCTCTGTTATCGCCTATTTTAGACACGTATGCGGTTGCCTTTGCCAGTAGTGTTTAAGATTTGGCATCAAACTTGTAATCATATAAACATATTTACATGTTATGTTTCGTATCTGTATTCGAACGAATCGTGGTTTCATTATCAACATTGAACTAACTAACTTGCGAAAAGAACCAAAATATGTTTTACTATAAAATTTGTGAAATATGTAATATTATACTTTTGGAAATTTTAATCATTCACCAATTAATGGTTTTAGTGTTCCATATGCAGTTTCTAACTTTATATAACACTACTAGTTATAGTGATCGTATTTATTCAAGATATTCTACTTTAATTCTGGTATCAGTGAGTGAAGTATAAGTATAATCAATTAATTACTATCGTCCATATGCGCATTTGGTAGTAATGCATGTATTTACGTACGAATCAGAAACTTAGAAATTGCTTTTATTTAAAAATTTAACAGCAATTGCAATATGCTCTTATGGTAGTAATAATAATATACTCCTCACATTCACTTTTTATTTATATGGTATACAGGTATATATATATAGTACTCACTCGAAAAGAATCCTTTAAAATTAATCAAGAGGAAAAACAGCGACACTGATAACAATATTATAACGTTGCAGAAGGTGAATACTATTAAACTAGGTGTTTTGCCCGCCATGCGGGCTTAAGTGTTTTATAATTATATATACTAATTAAATATATTACTAATTAAAATTATAAGCATATATTATTATTGTGTTTTCATTTTGAAAAATTTTAATCTTAAAATAATTCAAATATTATTCTTTCAATTATAATAAATATGAATTTTAATTAATTAATATTTAATTATTTATTTTCTGTTTTTGAATTTTTAGATATTTTATTAAAGATAGCTTTCAGATAACAATACAATATATATATGAATTGTCTGTTTAAAATAAAATATATTTTTGGATTTGGATAACTTTTATTGTTATTGTTTAAAATAACTTATCTAAGAAAATAAATTTAAATTCGTTTTTATATATAATTAATTTATATAATTTATTCATTAATGGTATAAACGATATTAACCGCGCTAACTTTTGACGTGGGAGTGCCTTTACGAAAAATCACTTTGCTTAAGCTTTTTATAATTATTTGTTAGTAAATATATTACTAATTAATAATCATTTTCAAAATTTTTACTTTTATTAAAAATTATTCAATATTTTTTTTCAATTATATAAAATTAAGAATTTTAATTAATTAATTTTAATTATTGTTTTCTGTTTTTGATTTTTTTTGGTTTTCTGTTTTTTGAATTTTAAAATATTTTATGAAAAGATAGTTTCAGATAACAATACAATATATAGGAATTATCTTTTTAAAATAAAATATATTCTTGATTTTGGATAACTCTTATTGTTATTGATTAAAATAAATTATCTAATAAAATAAATTAAAATTCGTTTTCATATATAATTAATTTATATAATTTATTCATTAAGGGTATAATCGATATTAACCACTCCAACTTTCAACGTGAGAGCTCCATTGCGAAAAATCACTTCGCAAATAATAGTATAGATTAAACGTAAAGTCTGGGGTTTAATTTAAAAGTCATGAAAGGTATATTCCTTTTGTATTTTTTTTAAATTGCCGTGCTTCCGTTTTACAGCTGTAAGGGACACCAAACCTGGATGGACGTTAGATGCAATCTAAATCGCATACACATACGAATCCAACGGATACAATCGTAATGGAAGCCTATGGGGGTGACACAGAGGATTTGGCCACCTCGTTCGCCTGCGAATCCAGCGTGGAGCCAATCAGTAGACCTGCTGTCAAACAATGTGTCCCGTCCACAGGTTATGTCAAACAATGTGACACTGACACAGGTTGTTTTGATTCCTGATTAGTACTAATTTGCAATCTCCTTACCTTTATTAACCACGAAATTTATTCTGAAGACGATTCAAATCAGCTTCTCAAATACTCACACTATTTCATAGTACATTGATTTGTTTTCACCCTCGTTCAAGAAAATAATAAATAATAATAATCTGTTTTTATCCTTTTAAAATGTTAGGAAGTGTTTGGAAAAGGTATAAATCTCGTGTATCTGCTATGTGCCAAAATATATTGTAATTCTCATCTCAACTGTTAGGTTTGGAAGGGGGTAGCGGGAAATGTGTTCTCCCGTATTGAAATCATCATTTTAAAAAATTAATTAGCAGAAAATTCTGTTTCACTTTATTTGTCACTATAAGTTTTTACACACAAATTACGAAAACATTTAATTTTACATATTTTTAAGATAAAATATGATTACCTATACATCTATTACTTTTCAACCAATAGAAAATATAATAGCATATAAAACTAATAAATTTTGCCTCAAAACTCTAAAATGACACTTATTTTAAGACATAATTTTTTTCACTAGAATGACAACTAATTCAAAAGGGACGAAGTATAGTATTATAGTTCAATCTTTTTTTTTTTTTTGTAAAAACCAGGGAATTTGCATACAGATTTTATCCGCTAATAGTTAATAGAGATAATCTATTTTTTTTTTTTGCCAATAAATGATTTTGTTATAAATACTGAATTTTAAAATAAATTTATCTGCATTTATAAATACAATATTTTAATTTTTTTACTTACAATTTTAGAAATACAAAACTATCATGTTCTACTTTTTTATTTTTTTCGTATAATTGTTACATTTATTTAAATTATTATATTTATATAATATGTGTAATTATAATATATTTTATGCAAATATATGGCTTTATAGTTTAAATATGTATGTTAATGGAAAAATATGTATTTCGATAAATCTAAATCTTTTATATTCTGATTTAAAAATTGCATTAACATGGTTTTAGACTAGTCATGTATCTCGTAAAATTTTATTATTGTCATATTTTGATTTCGTTAAAACTACGATAACATGTTATTTATTTATTAGATTTATATCTGATATTTTTTAATATATATTATTGTAGTTTATATTATTTAAATACATAATATTTTTATTTTAACTATTTTTACTATTTAAAATTATAATAACTATTTAACTTTTATTTCTTTCACATGATCTGATTGATCTGCATTTATCATATTTGATTTGCATGGCTTTAATTTTTCTTACCATTCAAAATTTACATGTGTTTTGTAATTTTTTTTTCTGTGGAAAGAATATATTACAGAAAAAAGGAACATTTAAATGTTTGTAGTTGACCGAACACACACAACTTTGAAATTTAATAATATTAATTTTATTTAACTATTCCTAAATCGAAAAATGTTTCATGGTTTACAACTTAAGAATAAGGTGCAAAAATAAGAATTGGTGGTGGATATTGGAATATTGTCTGTTTGTTTATTTGGTGCTGGATACTAAAACTGATACGACGATAGGAATTATAAATTTATCGGGTAAGGTTTCAACTATTCTACCAAACGAATTTCTATCATTTTATAATTGATTTTACATGACCTTGGCAAGATTAAGACGACGTAAATTAAACATAAATTAATGGATTTTTAACATAAAAACCCCTCAACTAAGTTTGTTTTGGGTAAAAATCACTAAACTAAATATTTAACGAAAAAACCTCAAAACTAATTTTATTTAGTGAATTAAACCCTAGCCAGTCATAATTACCAGTACTACCGGTAAATCTTTAGTTTAGGGGTTTTATCATTAAACATAAAAAAAATCAAAATATAATAACATTATCTAAAAATTCGTAATTTTAATTTTCAAAACTAGCATTTTAAAAATTTATGTAGATATATGAGTGATATGTTATCCTTTTAAAATGGATTTTTAACTCTAAAATAATTCAACTAAGTTTTTTAGGTAAAAACCCCAAAACTAACAAGTAAACCACCATATTAAACATAGTTGAAAGGTTTTTATCATTAAAAATCTAAAAAAATATTATAACATTATCTAAAAATTAGTAACTTAAATTTTTAAAATTAGATTTTTTCAAACTTTCTTTAAATATATGAGTTTGATTTGTTTTAACACCAACATTATATATATCTATATATATATAAATTAAAATTCTAAAACACCAAAATATAATAAAAATCATCTAAAGATTTATTATTACATTTTTATTAGATAAGATATATTTTTCTGTTTTCTTTTTTTTTTAGATTTATAACTTTTTAATAATTTTTATTACAGGTAAATATTTAGATAATTTTTTTATATTTTCTTGGTTCTTACATTTTAAATTTATACATATATAATGTTGATTTTAAAAGGATAATAAATCAAACTCATATAGTTACATATTTTTTTAAAAAATGCTAGTTTTGAAAATTAAAATTACGAATTTTTAGATAATGTTATATATTTTGATTATTTTTTATTTTTTTATTTTTAATGATAAAACCTTTAAACTAAATATTTACCGGTAATGCTGTTAATTATGAATAGTGAGGGTTTAATTCATTTACTAAAGTAAGTTTAGGATTTTTTTTGTTAAATACTTAGTTTATGGGTTTTTATCCAAAACAAACTTAGTTGAGGGGTTTTAATGTTAAAAATCCTAAATTAAATTATAAATTTAATTCTATGAAGTTAAGAAGAAGAGAGTTAGGAGAAAGTGTAAATATGTAAGTCTTGGGTTCAATTCTTTTAATGAACCAAATTATTATTTTTGTTTAAATAATAAACCAAATATTAATGTTTAGTAAGACCAACATATAACTAGACATTAGTATTATGGAGATCAGATTAGTCATCCTTACTGTTACATGGAAAAATAGTTTGTTTTCAACCATAAATCCGATTAATAAACAACTAATATTATGAAAACCGGGGTAATTTGATAGTTATAACGAAAACATCACAATATGTTAACATGTGCTAACGTTTATAGCTGCAACCGGTTTTAGCATGTATCCTTCTACGTTTTTGAAACAACTTTATAACCCGATCTTAAGTAATCACATGTTTGTTTTAAAAAATGAAGTAATTACATGCATTGTTTATGGTAATCCAAATAATCTATCTAGACCCAAGACCATCTATACTATTAAAAGGGAAGTACAAATAAAAAATATCTCTTAGTTTTTCACAAAAATTACAATCTTATGTCATTGGAGTTAAAATATTTAATTTCAAATGGGCTTAATGAAGATTTAAAATCCACTAATTTTAAATTAAAACCAAATTGTCTAAAATCAAATTACTCACCTCAATTTAACAAAAAGGCTTTTGTTAATAAATTACTAGAGATTTTATTATTTTGTAAATCTTTATTTTTTCACTGTCTAAATAATTTATTTTTTAAAAATATCTATAAAATCTAATTTAAATAATAATATCAATCAAAAAAATTATAATATAATTTTATAAAACACACAATTTAAACAAGATACTATAATATTTTACACTTAATTGTTTAGTTTACCAAATAAAAAATACAATATAAAAAAATACAATCGGATAGTTAAAAAAAAACATAAAACAAAATGAACAAGATACACCGACATTAAAATTCAATAATCTATGAAATATAAAATATGATTTTTTTTTTACAACTAACACAAACATATAATTATATAGAACATACATCCGCGCGGACGCACGGATCAAAAGCTAGTCATATTTAAATATGGCGATCCCTTCCAACGGAAATCACTAGGAGTAATTGTTGTATCTACTCAAAATAACACTTTCACTGTGGTCGGAAATATGACGATCCCTTCCGACGGAAATCACAACATGATTAACACACTATCTATCTAAATATAGCTTCCTATTTATTTTGTTTTAAAAAAGAGATGTCTCCATTTTTAGAAGAGTACTTTGTATTTTTGATATTTTAAAGATAAAATGCATCAAATCTTCAATGTGTATTTGATTAATTAACGGTAAAAGCTGATATTAAAAATATTTACTTTAGTAATTATATTCTGAATTGATATTAGTTGAGAACTATTAAATATTAATAATTTAATACATGATTGTAGAGATTAACATTGAAAGACATTTACACACTCATATATGCGTCTAGTTTTATGGAGGCCTAACATCATTTTTCTGAAACGCTAAAGAATCTTCACAAAATTTTATAAATATTTTATTCACGTTAATATACGTTTAGATTGCTGATTGTTAAACCTTTATAAATTAATAATGTTAAGACTACACCAAAATTATAATTTCTTATTAATTTATTCATATATTAATTGAAACCAAAATTTAATTTGAAAGTATAAAACTATATTATTTATTTTAATGTATTTTAATTTACAGAGTAGTAATTTAAAAAGGTATATTGTATTCTTCAGTGACCGATATACAATAATTATTTATTAAAAACAAATTTCCAAGATAACCATAGTTATGAGATTTACCATATTTTATGTTATAAGACTATTGATACATTTCACATACATATTGTATGAATATCAATGTTTGTGTATTTTTATCACAACTCTTAGAGAATATCCAAAAGACTCTCTATAATTTCAAATATAGAGTTTTTTGCTCTCGAAAAAGAAACTTCAAAACTTCAAATTTGAAGTTTTGGGGAGTGAAACTTCATATTTGAAGTTTCACTTTTCAAAACTTCAAATTTGAAGTTTCATCTTTTTATTTGTAATTTAGTCTTTATATTTACATATCTTATTTAGGATTCTTAAGTAAAAAAATTATATCTCACAAATCTTAAATTTATTTATATAAATTAAGCTTTACACATAAAATTAAATAAAAAAAATTTCAATAAAATGTATATTATTTTAAAGTTAGAATTAGACAACAAGAATATTACAAAATTAAAATTATCTTTTAAAAAGGTACATGACAACGTAATTATTATATAAATTTAAATATTACAACAACACTAATAATCTGGTAAATATGTCCCGGAAGCTCCAAAATCTTCAAATCCAAACAAGTTTTCCGTACTCAAAGATGGTTGTTCTTGACATCTTTTCGTAGGATTCTTTCTTTTTCAGAACTAATGTATTCATGAATATTAATATCACTGATTAGCAATATTTTTTTTCTCTTTTAAAGCTAACTTTTTGTTTCATTTTTCATTCGTAATTCAATCATCTCATGGAATAATGTGGTATTTTGCTTGTAGTTTAATATTTAATTATGTATTACTATTTCTAGTTTTATATTTAATTTAAAATTTGATTAATTAATATTGATGTAATATTTTTATATATGTGTTAGTCATTTATAACATTTTTATGAATTTTCATTAATCGTGAAAATTATAAGAACTATAATATAATATATAAATAATGTTGAAGTTAGTTTTGAAGTTTTTCTTTTGGAGAAGATCACTTTGAAACTTCAAATATAGAGTTTGTGAAACTCCAAAATAGAGTTCCGTTTTGGAGATGCTCTTAGCAAACACAAAACATTTTCAGCAAGAAATCACATAAATTGATTATATTTTGATTTCTTGCTTTTCACAGCCAATATAACATTTCAGGAAATTGTGCTCTTCTAACTTTCTATGTACACATCATTTAATTGTTTAAAATCAAATGATTTTTAAAGACACTAAATCCAATATTTTTTTTTTATAAATCTATTCAAATAGTATAACTGTATAACCAAATAACCCCCACTAAAAGAAATAAATTATTTGAAAGAGAACATAACTTGACTAATAGTAAAGCCGTAAATTGTTTTTTTTACCAATAAACTACATACGGGGAAATAAAATTAAAAAAAAAAAACAAAAAGAAAACAGCTGTGGTGTACAAGTCATGGACTCTCTATAACTCTCTCTCTCAACTCCCCACTCAATTTTACCCTTTTTTAATTTCCAATTTCCTCTCTCTCTCTCTCCTATGGAACCGCCGCCGCCTCCTCTCTCCTCCACAGCGGTGACCTCCACCCTCCCCCCAACAACCACCATCTCCCCTCCTCCTCCTCCTCCCCCCACAACAACCTCTTACCCCGACTCCCTCGACTCCTCCCCTCGGTCACGCACCACCGACACCTGGGACGATCCCCACCCCACCTCCGCCGCCTCCGTCTCCTCCAAACTCCGCCTCATGTGCAGCTACGGCGGCCACATCCTCCCCCGCCCCCACGATAAATCCCTCTGCTACATGGGCGGCGACACCCGCATCGTCGTCGCGGACCGTAACTCCTCCCTCTCCTCCCTCCTCACCCGTCTCTCCAACAAACTCCTCGACGGCCGCTCCTTCACGCTCAAGTACCAGCTGCCCAGCGAGGATCTCGACTCCTTGATCTCCGTGACGACGGACGAGGATCTCGAGAATATGATCGAGGAGTACGACCGCACGGTCTCGGCTGCGGCTAAGCCCTCGCGGTTACGGCTGTTTTTGTTCGCGTCGAAGCCGGAGGCTACTCAGAGTATGGGGCAGATCTTGGAGAGCTCCGCGAAGAGTGATGATTGGTTTCTTAACGCGCTTAATAGCGCGGGGCTGCTTAATCGCGGCTTTTCGGATTCGGATGCTAATGTTAATCGTTTGCTTGGGTTGGATGATGGACTTCGCGGTGGGGAGAATAATAATAATAATAATAATAATAATAATAATCTTGATTTGAGTGGTAAAGATGATGACGGCTCCGTTAAAAGCGGTAAGCAGCAACAGATCCAGGAGCCGCCTCAGACGCAGACGCAAGGAGGAGGAGGAGGAGGAGGAGGGCAAGATGTGCATAGTATGCCTGATTCTCCGATGCTTGACACGTCGTCTTCGTTTGGTTCGACTTCGTCCTCTCCCTTGCCGGCGAATCTTCCGCCGATTCGTGTACACGTGGAGGAAGCGAAGGGGGTGCAGGATCAGAGGATGGGGATCGAGGAGCAGTTTGCGAGGTTTAACGTTGGGAGTAAGCAGCAGCAGCAGCAGGTGAGTCAGCAGGAGGATGGATTCGCTGCGATTTCGTCGCCGCCGCCGCCTTTGCCTGTGACGATCTCTCTTCCCGCTGCTGCTGCTGCTCCGGCGAATGTCTCGAATGAGTTTCAGGCGAGAGTGTTCTCTGATGATGAGAGATCTGATCATGGTGTGCCGGCGGGATACAGGAAGCCTCCGACTCCACGTTCTCAGCCGCAGAATCTACCGCCTCAGCAGGTTCATCACGTGAAGTCAAATAGTGGTGGACATGAGTTGCCTTCACCTCATTCTGTTTCCAGGTAACTCTACTCTCAAAGGTCTTGACTTTGAATGTGTAGAGATAGATTTTTGATTGTGTTTGTTATAAAATGATTCAGTGATAGCAGCATGAACAACAACAACAACAACCCTGTGTTTCAACAACAAAGAGCTTCTGTTTATCAAGAACCAATGTCTCAGATGCCTTCTGGTTCCGCTGTTGTTACTGGTATGATCAACCCTTCAGATCCAAACACGCTCTTACCTCAGAATCATATGCAGAATCAGGACCCGGGATACATTCTCCACCCACAGTTCGAGCAACAATCTCAGCAACAGCCACAGCAGCAGCAACAGCAGCAGCAGTTCATACACGCTGCTCCACCTCAATACATTCATCACCATCCCTCTGGTGGCCATCCCCTCCACACTTACATCCCAGTCTACACTTCCCCGCAGCAGCAGCAGCAGTCCTTCCACAGGCATCCTGGTCAACTGGATCAACAGCCTTATCCCGCTGTTTACTATCTCCCTACTCCGGTCCAACCTAGGCCTTACAGTATGGCTGTGCCACAATCTGGTAGTGTGAGCGAGGCTCCAGGGTCTGTCCCTTCTAACCATCCTCAGCCACCTCTTAGCTCCACCATGATGGCTCCACCTCCTAACAACCAGTTGAGAAGTGTTCCTGGTGGCAAACCTGAGGCTGGGGTGTATACAACACCACAAGGTATTGGGGCTGCTCAGATGGTTCACCAGATCCCTACAAGTCAGCAGCAGTTCATGGGGTATTCGCAGATCCATCACCCGCCTCAGTCTGGTTCAGCTGGGATTCCCAACTACGGATATGAATACGCGGACAATGCTCATAAGCAGATGTTCTATACGCAACCTGTGGGACATGCGCAGTACCAGACAATGACCGGTCCTCCACCTGCCATGGTGTTGCCTGATGGCTCTGCTGCTGCTGCTAAGCTTCCAGCTGAGAACATGACACAACAGATCCGGAGTTCACAGCCATTGTGACACAACAAGGCACAAGGAATGGATGGAACACAGTTTTGGAGGAAGAAAATCCCAGTTGGTATCGAAACATAAATATATAATTACTTTTTTTCTCTTATTTTTATCAGTTGCTGCTGCGTCAAAAAAGTGTCTGGCTACATGTTGGTTTTGGTATTTATGGACTTATGTCAAAATGTGTTGTGTGAGTAAGTAGAGAGAATAAGGTAGTAATGTGCTTGCTGCTTTGGAATTTTACATTTATAGTCGATGGATATTGGTGCTTTTCATGGATCTTATATCATATTATTATTATTATCATTCATTTCTTTTGTAAATGACTCTGTTTCATTTCTTAATCGTCTCTCTTTATCGTTCTCGTCTTTACTTGGTGGAGATTTGAATGCTCTAGTATTTGTTTAGATAGACCAGGTGTTAAAAGAGTTAGAAGACACTCGATATACAGACATGTTTGTAAAAACATTTAATATTTGGAAGAATGTATGTCTTCCTCTCCATTGCTTTAATCTTATCCATGGGATCCATGTGTCTGGTCTGGTCTTGGATCCACCCTTCACACAACCCTACAACTTCTCAGACAAGGAGTGGGAGAAAAAGGTAGTGACAGAATCGCTTTGTCTAGCAATCTAGCAACATAACTTTTTCTCCTTTGAAAGAGAAAGCATGTGCATCATCACGTAAACACCAAAACTCAACTCTCTGTACGTATTCCATACTCTTGGTTCATGACTTTGTATTCTTGCACTAGACTACTCCCTTCACTGTCACAAGCAACACAGAGCCACTCTTTAATTGAGCTGGAACTACTCTCGGATGATGTTATCACAGAGTTCACTGAGTGAAAATATTCTGTGATTCAGATCCTAACTGTGATCTTGAGCACCAGAAGCAATGAAGCACTGCTGACCTGGTCTGGATACAAAATCTGAAACTAATGTGTCTGTGGTCAGGTCCCCATTCCTTGCACTCAGCGATATCAAACCAAGAAGGCCACAAACTGAATCTTGATGGGTTCTTCTTGTCTTCTGTCTCTATCCTGTCTGCAAATAAGTCCACTTCTCCTTGACTCTTCTGACACTTTTAGTCTCAGCTTCAGGCTATAAAAATCCTTATCAAGAGCTCTGTTTCTCAACCCACATTTCTCTCTTATCTGCACTTGTTGATCATTTAGAAAGCAACAATGGATCCAAACACACCTGCAGAATTTTCTCATGAGTCTTCAAACTTTCATACATATTACTCGCAGACCAAGAAGGGTGGTGGTGGTGGCGTAATCGATCTAGGCCTCAGCCTTAGTACCATTCAACATGAAACTTACCACCCATCGAGTCAAAGTAAGTTTCTTTGCTGCTTTCAAAGTGAATACACATGCTTTCACCTCATCCTTAGTTTTACTAATCCTCGCTTACAGTGATAGGTCTAGACGGGTATGGTGAGCTTATAGACTGGTCGCAACGCAGCTATACACAGCTGAAGAGTGAGGAACCGGTAAACCAAAGACTTGATCAACAATATTACAATGATGGAGAAGAGGGCAGAGGAAAATTGGCTTACTATGTGAAGGTAAACATGGATGGCTCAGTCGTAGGCCGCAAGGTTCGCATTCTTGATCAAGGAACCTACTCAACTCTTGCTCTTCAGCTTGACAATATGTTCGGTAAGTTAGTGCTCTTGAGTCTGAACCTTATAAGTTATAGCTACAAGTATGTCTTAGATGGTTTTATCATATCAACTTGAAATTTGCAGGTATGCAGACCGTGTCGGGATTAAAGTTGTTCCAGGATGACTCTGAGTTCTCTTTGGTTTACAGAGACAGAGAAGGTATCTGGAGGAATGTTGGTGATGTTCCATGGAAGTAAGCTCTTACCACAAGTCTTTTACTTTCTCAAAACAGAACCTTGTCTTTTTTTTTTAACTAAAACCACATTTGTGATTTGACTGAAATTTGATAGGCAGTTTGTTGTAACTGTGAATCGGATGAGAATCGCAAGAAGGAACAATGCTCTTCTTCCCTACTAAAAGCTTTGAAGTTTGAAGCCTCTCTTTTATCCAAATTAGCTCACTTCACTTGTGATTCTAGTTTTCAACATTTGATGTAACAGAAGCTTTTTAAAACGGTTATAAAGAGAGTGACATCTTACTAACTACCACCAACAAGACATGACAAATAAACAAACAAAACAAAACAACAAGTAACCACATTAGTCTCATCTCTTAAAACAAACGTTATGTTCTCTGATCTATGTGCAAATCTCTCAGTCTCCAGCCATTGGTAGTCTCTCGAGACTATCTGAAACATGCCTCATGGTAGGTCTTTTCTCTGGACTGCTGTTCACACAACTGATTGCAACCTTAAGAACAGCAACAATCTCATCTTCCTTATCTGCCTCAGGAGCCAAACAAGGATCAAGAACATCACACAATGGCTTCTTCTCTTCAATGCATACCTGTATCCACCTTACTAGATCTATCTCCGATGTCCCAACATCTAACACCGGAGACCTACCTGCTATCAACTCCAATAAAATGACTCCATAAGAGTACACATCCCACTTCTGAGACGGTTTGACCATCTTGAGAGTCTCTGGTGCTTGATAGTAGGAGCCAGAGGAAGAGTGAGCAGTGAACTCTGAAGATATGCTCTTGTGATGTTGTTGCTGCTGCTTCTCTTCCGTTTGGATGATTCTATTTGACTGTACCGTTGGAGATGATCCTCCAGCAATGTTAGCCAACCGTGTTAGTCCAAAATCAGAGATCTTAGGTTCCATGTCTTGCCCCATGAGAATGTTGCTGGGCTTGAGATCTCCATGGACGTACTTCTTGGGACTAAACTCGTGTAGATGAACAAGCCCTGTAGCAATCCCTTTGGCTACCTTCAGACGTTCGGACCATGTCAAGGGAGCTACACTCACCATCCCTGGCTTGCCTGCACACACACATTTTGTTATGACTTAAACTGAATGATGCAACTTGAAAATGAGAGAAGAGAGACTCACTGTGGAGAGCTGTTGCGAGGTTACCGTTAGGAACATAGTCATAGATGAGAAGCTTCTCATCAACAGACCAATAATAAGCTCTAAGACTAGCAATGTTTGGATGTCTTATTTTCCCTATAGCTTCAACTTCTGTCTGAAACTCCTTAAATCTCTGAGACCCTCCTTCACCCAATCTCCTTACCGCCAACGTTAGCCCATTCTCTAAAACCACTTTGTACACAATACCAATCCCACTCTTCCCCAAAACAAAAGCCGACGCCTTCAGCAGCTCCTCAAGGTTAAACGCCACCTGAGCATCAAGAGCCACAATATCACAATGCTCCACGTTTTCAGACAACGTTTCAGACTCGTCTCTCCGGAAACAAAGACACTCCGCAGCCCTTTTCTTGGAGTCTTTATCTCTGTTACAAGCGCAGAACTTTGAGTAGCAGTAAGTGAAAAGCAAACCCACAAGACAGATACCGATAACATCGCAGAGAACAATGGCAACAACAGCTGTTTTACTCAAACCACTTGAAGACTTCTGTTTGGTTTCAGAGTCACCATCTGAATCATCATCTGGACGGTTGTTACTTGGGATAAAAGGGTAAGATGCATTAAGACCGCCAAGCTCATCTCCTGAGCAAAGATCCTTCAACGGAGGACCACACAGCCCTGTGTTACCGATAAAAGCCGTTGGTCCTCTATTCATCAGAGCACCGGTTTGAGGAATCGGACCGGAGAGGTTATTAAAAGTCAAATCAATATAAACCTTTTCAGGTAAATCACCAAGTCCAGGTGGGATCAACCCAGAGAAATGATTATGAGAGAAGTCAGCAGTTCCTTGTAAACTCGAGAGGTTTCCAACATCTCCAGGGATCGAACCGTTGAACTGGTTAAAACCGAGGTTAAGCTTCTCCAACGAGACAAAAGCTGAACCAAACCCATCAGGCAAAGAACCAGAGAAGTTGTTTCTACTAACATCAAGCGTTCTCAACCTATTACATTGCAGAAGCGAAGACGGTAACGAACCTGAAAAGAGATTCTCCGACAAATCCAATGTCTGAAGAAGCTTAAGCCTACCGATCTCGTCTGAAACCGACCCATCAAAGGAATTACCGTAAAGGACTAAACTTTGGAGTCCCTGAAGCTCGAAGAGCTGAGTAGGTAACGGCCCGTGGAACCTGTTGCTACGGAGGTTTAAGTGACGGAGGCTGGAGAGAAACCCTAGTGAGGAAGGGAGAGAGCCGTAAAGGTTCTTCCTTGGGATGCTTAGAGAGACAACTTTGAGTTCTTTGCAGGTTACACCGTTCCAGGAACAAGCGTTGTCGTCAGAGGAGTTCCAATTGGTTAGAGAGCCTGTGGGATCTTCGTGGACGCTTTGTTTAAACGTTAAGAGAGCGAAGCCCTCGTCGTTTAAGGCGTTTGTAGGGAGAAGAGCGACGAAGATGAGCAATGAGGTTAACATTTTGAGATGAATTAGTCTTGGAACAGAAAGACTTGAGGGTTAAGCTTTGTACAAAGAGAGTGAAAGAGAGAGAGAGAGAGAGAGAGAGAAGAGTGATAGTGATGGAGTAAAAGAGTAAAGTTGGAAAGCATAAATAAAGATACTCTCGTTGAAGAAAAAAGTAGGAAGAAAGAATACAAAAGCTAGAGAGAGAGGAGGAGCTCTGTTTTTTGGACCCTATGAAAAGCATTGGGAGAAGAGAATCAACAATTAAAAGAGGTGAAAGTTGGACAAAAGAGAAGCATTGGCGATTTAATCCACACCGTTAATGTTATTATCACAAGCTTCCATTAATCCCGTTTTTTACTACTCAAATGATCAATGTATTACCAAAAATAATATTTCAAAAATACATTTTATATCTATATGTAATTAGTTAATAAGTTGTAAATGGTAAATTTTAGAAAAATGATTATGTTTATTTCGTTTTTTTGTTAAAAGTTATGAAAATAGTTAATCACAAAAATAATATACATACATTCAGAATTTAATATGTGTTTGTTAATTTGTGTGTGATTTTTTTTAAATGAATTGTTTTAAAGAGAAAGAGTAATAAATAAGCTTTTTGACCAAACTTATCCTAATTTCGTATGTAAACAGTGTAATTTCAGAACCTTTTTCAAATAGTTACATCCTTTTACATACCTTTTGTCAGGATTATTGTTTTATTCTGAAAAAGTATTTTATTGGTGAAATGTGTAGCATTTGGTTTATTGATTTGTCAAGTGTCAATGTAGGTAACATTTACAGTGACTGTTTGTCCTTTTCTTAGTTTTCTATTCATCTATCTTCTCAAATTATCAAATACTAGTAGATTATTATGTTCACTAGGTAATAACCCGCGCCTTGCGCGGGATGAGATTATTACTTTTGTTACTTTAATGATAAAATGATATTATGTCTGTTTAGCATGAATATTAGTTTATTTTTACGTTGTTTTTTTAATCTCCTAAAATATAACTATCATTCTAAATCTATATTTATTTTGGTTTGTTTGGTGTAAATGTTTGATGTTTTTGATTTTTTCGATGATAACCAAAAACTATTGTTATTTGTTTGGTTTCATTTTATATAAATTTTAGATATTTTTGNATGTCTGTTTAGCATGAATATTAGTTTATTTTTACGTTGTTTTTTTAATCTCCTAAAATATAACTATCATTCTAAATCTATATTTATTTTGGTTTGTTTGGTGTAAATGTTTGATGTTTTTGATTTTTTCGATGATAACCAAAAACTATTGTTATTTGTTTGGTTTCATTTTATATAAATTTTAGATATTTTTGATGTCGAACTAATAGTTTCCTATTATAATTTCTAAACACATGTAAAATCAACTTCAATATGAGAGTTTTTAACAACTTTAGTCATTTATTGTCGTTTTAAAAAATTCAAAGTATAGCAAATACGAAAAAATCTAAATTTTTATTATATAGTTAATGTAGTTGTTGAATTTATTTTAATAAGTTCAAATTTGAAAGTTACACTAATTTTTTATCAAATCTTTATTATTAAAAATTATTAATTTTCATATATTCTTTAACCATATTTGGCTATCCGTTACTTTTATTTAAGAAAACAATTAAAAAAATTTTTTTTTTTCTATTTTATATGATATACAATTAAGTTTAAATAATATTATCGTAGAAATATAATAAATTTTTAATATTGATATTCGGTAAATTATAGTTTATACTCATATTATTTTTTTCATTTTTATATTTTTATAATAACAATTTTAAATCACTGATAACAATTTTTTTTGTGTGGGATGTTTACCATTTTTAGTTATTTATAGTTTTAAAACAATATGCAAAGTTTAAAACTAAATATTAAGTTTTCAATATTTTATTTAATTTTTTTATCAAAAAAATCAAAGCACATTAGAAATTAAAATACATATATATATATATATATATATATATATATATATTATATATATGGTACATAATTTATTTTGAACAATATATATATATATATATATATTAAATGAGACATTTTTACTTATATAATTTTGTAATCATTTCTATTTTTTTATAAAAATTTAATCATGGATCACAAAAAATTTAGTGAGGCTTTTTAACAACTTTTGTCATCTATAGTCATTTTAAAAAATTCAAAGTATAGCATATATGAAAAAATATAAATTTTTATTATATAGTTGATGTGGTTGTTTAATTTATTTTAATAAGTTAAAATTTAAAATTTACACTAATTTTTATCAAATCTTAATTATTGAAAATCATTAAATGTCATATATTCTTTAATCATATTTGGCAATTCCGTTATTTTTTATTTAAGGAAATAGTGAAAGAAATGAATAAGTCATTTATGATTAATTTAATAAAAAGCTTATTATATATTTAGATAGACAAACATATTTTTCTAAGGATTCTAAGAATGATTGTGGTGATGACATGTGGCTACAAAACAATGTTGTAATGCTTCTCCTTTAATATATAGGGGATCTGTAATCATCATTAATGTAATTTTGTACTAATTCATAGATGCTGCTGTTAGCACGAAACCCGGCAAAATACCAACTGCTACATTGTCTTAAACCATACTGTTAAAATTAGTACTATATATTTTCGTATACATGCATTGATTAGTCAATATCAATTCGAGTTAAAATCTATTAAAATCTGTATTCAGCTTACTGATTGGCGATTAAGACAGATGTAAAGGTGGGGTAATTTAATAAGATTAGAGTTTGATATTACTCGTGAACGTCGTCACAAGATGCCACGCTCCTTTGTTTATTCCCCGAGGCTTCTTTTACTATTATCATCACATCTTTTATCTTACTTTAACCCATATAGCTATATCAATTAACAATGACATCACAGCTCATAATCTCTCTTTTTCCAAACATTTTTAACAGTAAATTGTTTTCTTAGAATATGCATAACGACATTTAAATCGCTAGAGAAAGAGATGAACATAACAATAAGCATAAGGTTTTCCGAGGAAAAGATGCTAAAGAAAATAGTGATTCTCAGTTAAAGTTCCTAGTTAAGGTAATCTGCAATAGAGACGGATCAGATTCAATGGTCAAATAGTGAGGTTCATCCAACGGCTACAAAGCACTGATTGCGCTGGCACCGTTGATTATAAGAAGAGGAAGGACACGTGTACGACCCTATTGTCTCACTTTGTCCGACCCATGTTGTCGTTATTATCGTTATCGTGAAATATGTCGATAAGTCCAATTTGTGAAATGTGATCATTCGTAGTTTAGCCTTTTGGGACAAAAGCCCTAAACCTAAACGCCAGAGTGTGGGCCCAAACTCCTCCTTCTCGTCACGGGACTCACACCGGCGACGACTCCGAGGTAGTTACGGGGTACATATCAATAAATTAAACTATTGCGGTTTTCGCGTCATATAAGATAACTGTAGGGTAAAAATAATAAATAAGTAAAAGATTGAAATGTTGCTTTTCTGGCACGATTGAGACTGATCGTGAGAAGTCAACGTCAACAAACAATGGGAGAAGCTGTGATCCGCACCATCGTCGAAGCGATTCACTCATCACCGACTCAAGCCGTCGTGTATCTCTCCGGCGGTGCCTCCGTGGTTTAGCTCTCTCTCTTTACATATATACATATATCCGAGTGATAACAATTACTAAAACTAGAATTGTATTTTAATTGTGGCAGGCATTAGGTTGGTTGATGTCAGTTCCAGGAGCTTCGAACACGCTTCTAGAAGCCGTGGTGCCGTATTCGAGGATATCTATGATCCAATTACTCGGCAATGTTTGTTTCTCAATCTCTCACTCAAATCAACGGCCAATCTCGTTCCCGTGTTGACTTTATATTTCTCGATTAAATGAATCAGGTTCCGAAGCAACACTGTAGCCAAGCGATGGCGAACGAGATGGCTTTGTTAGCGTATAACCGTGCGGTTAAGCTTTCTAAACCAGGTTTAAGTCTAAACCAAGTTTTAATTAAAGGGGGGAATTGGTTTATGTGTTATAACTTTGAGTGTATGCTTGGATAGGATTCCCGGTGATTGGTGTGGGTTTTACGGGAGCATTGGCAACTAATCCTCCTAAGCGTGGTGATCACAGGTTTGATCCTCTAGCTAGTCAGTCTAGGCGCCCGCCTAAACAATAATCCTCTATAAAACGCGTAATCACTGCCTAGCGTTGGTGTTATCCATACAACCATATTAGGGGGGTTTGCATTTTCCAGCACTGGCTGCTTTTGCATTCCATAGCTCATAGGTTTATTTGTTTATGTTTTGCTGCGAATAGGTTCTTTTTGTCTATGAGGGCATCCAACCGGATCTGGGAAACTTCAGTCACTTTAACAAAGGTGTTGAGATTTGTTTATTCTGTCTTTCTTTGGTTTTTACTGTCAACTACTCATGTCTTTTCTTATTATTATTTATTTTGAGAATTTTAGAACCTACGAACCCGAGAGGAAGAAGATAAGGTGGCAAGCCGTGTGCTGATCCAGGTGTGTTTATAAATCTTATTATTACAAGTTACCATCTTAGGGCCTTCCTTGGCGTCTGATTTTCCGTTCTCTAGCTCTTAGATAGAACCTGCAGTATGATGGATGTTTTTATAGACTCAGGTTTTACCCCTACATAGCATTCTACTCCGATGTAGGACTGACTTCTTAGAACCTTTTCTGGTTCAATATCTTAGGCTATGGCCAAGGCCTGCCAAGTTTCTGGGACACTTGACTCTGGCTTGACCGAGTCTGAGGTGCTTGATGAGTCGGAAAGACAGTTTAGTGAAGAACAAGAACTAGAGCAGGTTATACGTGGAGAATTGTGCTTTAAGATTTATCCGTTTTCTAAGGGTAAGGTTACAAGAAGATTTTAGATTTTTTTTCTTTTAAACTGAAACTTGCTTTTTGTTGCCATTAACGATGAAGTTTTACCATTATAGGAGAAGCATACGGGTCGGATCCAGACAGAAAGATTATACTGCCTGGTTCTTTTAACCCATTACATGACGGTCATCTCAAGCTCTTGGAAGTTGCTATGAGGTACGCTGAGTATGTCTTTATGCGTAATGAGTACTTGCTTATCTTGGTGAACACCTGAGTCTTCTGTGTATATGTTAATGTCTTTGACTCTTTTACTGACTCTATGTTTTCTAGTTAGATCCAATAGGCTATGTAATCTTTTTGTTGTTGTTATGCTATAGACATGGGTATCATTTTGACGTTTTATTTATCTCCGAACAACAAATCAACTGTCTTTTTGGCTTTCTGTAAAATAAAATGTAAATAATCTCTCACTAGCAGATTTGATTGATGCAGTGTTTCTGAAGGCGGGTACCCATGTTTTGAATTATCCGCAGTAAACGCCGACAAATCATCTATTTCAGTTGCAGAGATTAAACATCGTGTCAAACAATTTGAAGAACGTGGTAGGTGGAATTTATACTTATAACTTACCATTAATTCATGTTTTCAATCTTGTGCACCACCTTTTTGGCATCTCTGAGTTACCACGATCTTATGATTTAGATTGTGATCCAGATTTGAGCTACAATGCTTTTCCAACGCAAGTTCATGTTCATTTACTCGTGCCGTCTTTTGTTATTAAGTATTATCGGTTGACAGGAAAAACGGTAATAGTTTCAAATGAGCCATACTTCTACAAGAAAGCTCAACTTTTTCCAGGAAGCAGCTTTGTAATTGGCGCTGACACTGCAGCAAGGCTTGTTGATGTATGTATAAACTACTTGAACTTTTTTCCAGTTTTCCTGATCCTTCTGTTGATTTTATAAAACGTACAGTTAGATTTGTGTATGCTTACTTAAAAGTCAGTTAGACGCAGACGTTTAAAGCTCTCTGTTATCTTCCTAGCTATCAGAGAAGAATGATTAAGGATCTTAACTTGTTGCAGCCAAAGTACTATGAAGGAAGCAACAAAAGGATGTTGGAGGTACTTGGTGATTGCAAGAAAACAGGTTGCAAATTCCTTGTCGGTGGCCGCAAAGTCGATGGTCTATTTAAGGTTTGACCTAAGCACTAGAATCTGGAGCTATTCAGTTTCTTCTCTGTCTTTGAGATTGTAGGCCATGTGACCTTACTCATTTCTCCTCTGCAGGTTCTAGAAGATCTTGATATTCCAGAGAAAATAAGAGACATGTTTGTCTCAATTCCTGAAGATCAGTTCCGGATGGATATATCCTCTACAGAGCTAAGAAAGAAACAAGGGGGTGTTGATAAGAGGAAGCGTGAAATTGCTAATGAAGAGGTTGAGCAAAGTTCGAAATGAAAAAAATGATGTGGCAAGAAGAAGTTGTCAACAGTTTCATGGAGTGGTAATAATGGTTGCGTTTTATACTTACAGACCCTTTACATACAAACATCATACTACAGTACTCCCACTATTCTTGATAATAATTTATGCAGAAATCATTTTGGTTTCACCTGTTCAAATTTCAAGATTTTCTTTTTATGGGAATCGACATTTTACTAGGATCTCAACAACTGAGGAAAACATCCTGTAGAGTCTATAATAAAACGAAGATACAGATCTGAGAGTGGTAAATTGAAGAAAATGTTGAACTACTCGAGGTATCAATCGCACAAACTAAGATCCAAAAACAATCCAAAAGAAAGCTCAAAATGTCGTCATTTAACTTAAACAAAACGATCAAAATCCAGGAGGAAGTATTTGGTGAAAACAACATAGATAATAAGATAGTGTTTGGAAAAAAAGAAAACATCTAATTCATCCTCCTGATAAGCTCATTGATGAAGTTTTCACGGTTTCCAGCATCACCACCTTCAACGTAGTGGTTTCTCTTCTTCTTAAGACCACCGAGCGGTGCCTTGAGCTGGAATGGCCACAGGAAGTTGTTGGCCTCCTTGAAATGAGGTCCAACAGTAAGAATCTCGTGGATCAAATCCTCAGTGCAGATGATCCCATGTTTACCCAAAGCCTGTTATTGTTTGACAGGAAAACAATAATCATCACTCTACTTCATAACAGAATAACATGTAAGAAGCTTAAGTTCGAAGAGACTGATTTCAAACCTGCTCAACAATAGAATTGTCAGTCAAAGCCACCCTCTGGTGGTTAAGCTTTCCGTATCCTCTCTTGTAGATCAATTCCTTAACACTCTTCAAATTGGGGAACCTGAATAAAGATGAAATAGTTTACAACTCTGTCACTTGGGAAGTTTTTTTATCATGCTCGAGTTTAGAATAAGAAGTATACCCGTAAGTTACATATGGCTCAACACGACGAAGCATGTTCATTGTAGCCTTGTTGACTTTGAGAAACACACCGTTGAAAATCTGCATTACATTTTCCAAATTATTATGATGGCAACACAGAAAATAATTTGACATACTAGTGTACTAAACCTAATGCCAATAATAATTTGAAAAGTAATTATTTTCTGTGTTCCAAAAATCACAAACTATAGTTACGAGACAAGACATACTAATGTACTAAACCTAATGCCAATAACGTGGTAAATTTACATAATGCGGAGTACATGTTTGTAGAGATACCTGTCTCAAACGCAAGAGCTGAAGAATCTTCTTTGTCTTCGGGTCAATAGCATTGATACTGCAAATTCAAGTAACAAATGATAAGAAACCAAACCCAAATCTCTTTAGAAACCCTAAATAATATCAAACATACCCACGAATACGGATGATGAACAAGAGCTTAGCTTCAGGGTCAACATAGAAACCTCCCTTCAACTTAGCCTCACGTTTCAAGGAGATCAACTCGTTCTCCTGCAAACAAAGAATAAAGATCACTCATTTGGATCTAAACAAACATTTAATTATTTCTGCTTCGATTTTGGATCAAAGACAAGTTACCTTCTCGGCATACTCCTTAGCGTACTGCTCGGCTCTTTTGTAGATAAGCTTCCTGTTGGCGGCGTTCGTCTTCTTTGCAGCTTCAGCGTTCTGCTTCTTGGCCAAAGCCCACTCCTCCTCTCTCTTCCTCTTCTTCAGCACTGACTCCGGAACTACAACCTTGGATTCTGCCATTTTCCGATTCCTAAAGATCAATCAAAGAGACGACGACATACACTGCGGCGACGTGCGACAATATATAGCTACACTCAAAGCTAGGGTTAAGCATAAACTTAATGGGCCTATTTAGGGCCATCACATTTTCTCCCAAGGCCCATTAGTATTTAATGGGTATTTCGTGTACTATAAAGCCAGCATTGCCATTTGCCCAACTGACTTTTTTTCAGATATGTTTAAAAAAAATGGTGTGTGTGAAGAGAATGATAAGTCAAGAAACAAAGTATCCTCATGTTTAGAGTGAAGTGAAAATTCAATTTCAAACATGAGATATTTAATTGAATTTTCACTTCACTCTAAACATGAGGATGTGCCACTTCACTCTAACACGTCTATGGCACATGATCGACACATTGTTATGTTCCTTTTTGCCACACATACCATGATATGGCTTTAGAGGTCTACAAACAAGGGATTAAATAAATAAGAAATAAGCAATTTCTGCATGATGAAAATTAGACGAAGCATAAATGGAGTAGAAGTGGTAATTATTTAACAAAATGATTAATACTCCTTTTTATTAACATAATACTAATTCTGATACAAACGAGTTTTTACATGGAACTAAAGAGTATTTAAGACTTGCTTTCAACTTCCAAGTAAACCATTTTGTACAACATCCTTCCTTAGACATAAACTAACAATAAAGTCTTCAACACATCCACTTTCAACAAGCTCTGATATTCTTGGCATTGGTTGTGCCTAGAGACGTGAAGTTCAACTTGATTATTGGCTTTCTCTGCTGCACTGAAGCTTTATGTGTCACCACGGGCTGTTGCACTAAAACATCTTCGAGTTCTTCCACTTCCACTGCTCCATTGGATAATGATGAACCATTTGAAGTAATGGCTGAGACTGAAACCTGCTTAACCACTTGATTTCTGAAACCAAAGTTGTCTTCAACCTCCTCACTTTCTTGACAATGCGAAGCTTGAGGAGTGGCTTTCTTCTCCACTAGATGACTCTCTCCGGCACCTTTTGAACAATCATCTTTCATAGGAGCTGAACAAATGGATTCAACAGATGAATTGGGACTCCCATCTTCACCTTTCTCTAAATGCACTGAAACTGCAACACGTTTTGAGTTCCTTGACTGATCGGTAAGTGTCTCATCATCTCCCAACTTTCTCTTCTTCACGGCTTTATTTTCAAGACTAGTAATAGTAGATGAACTTCCTGTAGAAGAAACTCTCTCCTCTGAACTTCGTTTGCTGTCCCATGTTCCTTTTGACTTACGCAAAGGTCTAACTCCACCAGGAAACACAAAGCTAGGTATGTTTCTTCTCATTACATGGCTGACACTAACCTCCATCCCAGGGACGAACAACATGTAACCGTAAACAGTGTTCTTAAACTCCTCAATGGTTCTTCTAATATCAAACGGCTTGCCTCCTGCTGCTGGAACTCCTTGTTTACGTTGCAGACCCATGAATAGAGAGCACTGTAGCGGTCTTGAATCTTCTTGGAAACCACGTGGATGAGGGTGGCACTGAAGCATGTCATAAGTATGTCTCTCAATCATCAACGTCAGCTGTCTGAAACGTGACTCAACCCATCCTCTCCATTTTTTCAGATTCTCCACATTAGAAGCAGAGATGTTGATCTGAAGATAGTTCTTATACGCTTCAAAGAACCCAAACGGCTCAAAGAGAGTATCCCATTGATCAGCTTCCTTTGCTTCCATAGCCTCACATATATCTTTCCCTCTCTGAAACTCCCCAGTCATAATCCTCAACGTACTTGCAGAGACATTGTAACTTGAGTTCATACAAGGATAAGCAGGAGTAATGATAGGCATCTTGTGCAAACAATCTTTAGGGTTTCTTCTAGGATCCCAAACTTGAAGACCTAAGGAATATGATCCCTCATCATCTATAGAGCAAAGAAGAATAGGATTGGGCCAACGCCATTGAGTGTAAACCCTAAAGAACCGAGACACCAACATGTTTGGCAAGGCGTTAGGATAAAGCTGACAGATCCTAGCTACAAGCAACGCCCAGTTTATACCACCAAGAAAGCCAGAGACGTTAGAGTAAACACCACGCTTCTTGGCCCAAAACCTAATGCATCTCAACGTTGTCCTGAAACTCTGAATGTTAGGAACCAAGCGAAAGATCTGGTCTGTAACTCTACAACCGTTGAGACTTCGAACAGTCTGCTCATCAGCATTCTCTAGAATCGAATCTTTCGATAAATCCAAATCCTCAGGTATAATCCACAAAGGAAGCTTTGCGTAGAGAAGATCAATAGAAACTCCGTTAAGTTTGAAACCCATCAAGGGAACATAAGCATCAGGAACAGAGTGGAGCTCAGTCACTTCAGGCAACTCAGAAAGCATTCTATGCAACTCTCCAAAGAAACAATTGCCTCTAGTTGCGTATCTTGGACCAACACATAGAGTGTCTATATCAGCACCAGGTCCATGCACTTTTAACCGGTAAGAACCGAAAGTGAATATCTTGGCGTTGGCTTGTTCAATCGTCTCATCGCTTAACCCTTTGTCACGGCTTATTTTTTTGATCCATGTTTTGACAATCTCGTCTAGTCTCCCAAGAACCTCTTCTCTTCTAAGAGCTTCCTCGTTGGTTTCGTATAATCCAGCGTCTTGCAAGTACTTCTCTAGGGCTTTTGTCTTGATTACGTCGAGCTTCGTTGGTCCTCCTAAAGAGATAGGTTCTGTAATACCAAACCTAACCTGTCCGTTTTGCTGGACAGTAGTAGCCATCGATTTTCTTAGGTTGTTGATATCCTCTTTACCCTGGATGAATATTTAGAACGAAGAACGTTACTACCGAGAAACTGTTGATCATATAACAGACCACAAAAACAAAGTGCGATCGAGTAGGAAGGCTCTTTCTTCGAGAATAACCTTGAAAACCCTAATTCGAACGATGAATAACACAAACGAATGGAATCGAGTGAATAGCAGCAGAGATTCTCTCGAACTTTAAGCGCCCAACGATCTCAGGTAGTACGCAACACTACGAAGATTTATAAAAAGCTATCAGTCCACACATGTCTATATATATATCGATTCACAAAAAAAAATATGGAGTTGAAAAAAGGAAATACGCGTGGAAAAAAAAGGGAAATACATTAAGGGAAATTGGGTTGTATAGCGGTGAAAAAAACATTAATTAGCTAGATAGCCAATTTCCCTAGTACACCTATACACAACATGACTTTTATTTAATAATGCACTAGAGTTTTTACCCGCACATTCGTGCGGGTATACTTTTCATTTAAAAAAAATTATTTAATATTAACGTAAATATTTTAAATATATAATTTATATTTTTATGTTATATATTGTGTAAATTTATAATCTAATTGGCGTAGGTTTTTATTCAACATTATTAATATATAATATTCTTTAATTTTTTACTTTTTTATTCAACATTATTAAAATAAAATGTTTTTTTTGTATTTTCTCGACATATTATTTTATAATAAAATATTAAATTTTCAGTTAAAAATATTTTTCACTGTTATCTTCTGAATTAGTAAAACTTTCTGATATCCTATATTTTTTAAATAACACATGAACTAAAAGTTAGTTATATACTATTATTTTTTTTATATAATCATTTTAGATAATATGTTTTTGTGAGTTTTAAATTAAGTAAAAAATAAGATATAGTAAAAATTTAACATTATGCTAACATTTTTGTATAAAAATATACATAATTTATGATGTTAATCCTTTTAATGGTGGATAATTTTTTTTATTTAAGTGAAATAAATTTTAAAATAAAGTTTCATTTACCAACTTTATTTATTTTATTTAATTCATAGTGCAATTATATTTTAATATAACATAGACTATAATATGAAATTTATAAAATAGTATAGGATTTTTTTTGTTATTATAGTGAAATTTTAATTAATATTAATGTATAATAGTATGATATTATTAATTACGAAATTCATTATTATGTTATTTAATAAAAAAATATTTAAAATTTTAGTAAGATTCTGTTAGATTTTCTCTCAACCGATTCTGTTGTAACTAAAAATAAAATCTATTATTTTCAGCATATATGATATATATTTGATTGATTAACCTAAATAATTTAATATGTCCTACTAAGTAATTAATGAAATGGTCCTATATGACTTCTTTGTAGTAGATAAAAATAGTGACTCTATTTTAATAGAGTAGATTTTTACCCTTGTACAAACCGGTGAACCCTGCATATTAAAAATTAATAATTATAACATATCAAAAGTAAGTCGTGGCTCTTCATTATTCACATATTTTTCTTTGTAACTTTTAGTAATTCGTGGCCCTTTAATATTCATAATCTTTCTACTTTTTTATTCATTTTCTATTCTATTTGGGGTTAAGATTTTTTTTTGAATTTAAAATCTATATTTGGGTTTAGAATCTATTGATTATAGTTTAGAATTTTAATATTTGGAAAGTGAGGATTGAGATTGTAGTCAACGTTAACTTCTTTTGTATAATTATAGTCTTTCACAATTTTACTAATATTTATTTTGTTCTATTCTATTTGGGTTAGAAGTTTATATTTTAATAATATTCATATCATGTACTATTTGCATAGTTTGATACTTGGGTTAGGGTTTATATTTTCTTTTAGGGTTTATATTTCCCTAACTTATGTTTAGTGATTAGGGTTTATATTTTTCTACCTTTTGTTTAGTGGTGTAAACAAAAGAAAGGGGTTAATCGCCAAAGGATTGGGGTTTATATTTTTCTAATTTTTGTTTAGTGATTAGCGTTCATAACATTTTAAACATTTCATAATTTCACAAATATGTACTATGTTATTTTTTTTGTTACATTCTATTTGGATTTAGAGTTTATGTTTGGATTTAGGGTTTATACTTAGGTTTAGGTTTAATATTTAGGAGTTGTCATGGGATTAAGGATAAGTAGAGTTGAGATATATTTAATATTTAAAAGTTATAGATGAGGTTATAATCTTATAATATTTCGGTGATATGGAATAGAATACTCGGTTATATAGAATAAAATATTCGATGCTATGTATGTGGTTAATAAATAGATATGTGGATGACTTTACTATAGGAAAGACATTACCTATTTTCCCAATTACAACTGAAAACCTTTTAAGAACGAGGACAGAACCGGATAAAATGAGGCACAAATGTCTGACATTGAATTATGTCAACATCAATGCTATTCACTTAATTTATCTCCCAAATATGGCTATTACACCAATTATCCCATACATTAAAGCCCAAAAAGTCTCAAAACTTATGACTCCCCTTTAAATTGAAAGATGTGTTTTTAATTTAAATTTTGTAAATTTACTTTAAAACAATGTATATTTTCAAGAATTAGTTTATTTGACCAAAGGTTGTGAATCTCCACTAAATTAAAAGTTGTGTTTTAATTTAAATTTACTTTGAAACAATGTACCTTTTCAAGAATTAGTTTAATTGAAAAATGTGTTTATTTAAAAAAAAAATTATAATATATTGAAACAATGTGTCTCTTGAAAAGTTATTTAATTTGAAAGAATGTGTCTATTCAAATTATATATATATATATATATATTTTTTTTTTTTTCAAAAGATGTATTAGTAGAAAGTTGTGTCTTTTCATTTTAAAAAACCGACTATAAATTGAAAAGTTGTAACTTTTGAAAGAATTCTTGGAATCTCTATATATAGTGTATGTCTACAATTTTATGAAACTAAAATTTTTACAATCTAAAAAATTGTGAAGAAAGATTCTGTAAAGTACCTAAATATAACAAGTTATAACTCCAGAATATATTAACTTTAAAAATTGTGTCTTTTCATGATATATTAGTTTTCCAAAATTAATAGATATCTCAAAAAATACCTTTGTACAATTATTTATTGAGTTGTGTATTAATTAATATAAAGAGTCATGTCTTTCCATTGTAAAAAGAAAATTTGTTTTTAAAAATAGTTAAGATGTCTTTCTATGATAAATGTGTTTTTTGAAATGATATGTCTATTTAAAATTTCAAAAAGATGCAACTTAAATATTAATATTTTTTTTTGAAAAAGACAATTTTTTATAATGAAAAAGAATACAACTTTTAAATTAATATCTTTAAGTTTTTTTTTTATGAAAAAGTACAAAATTTCGACATTAGTTGGAACATATATTATTAATAGATTTATTTAAAATATATTTAGTTTTATGAAAAGATGCAAATTTTAAATTATTCAGTTTTATGAAAAGATGCAACCTTCAAACATATTTTTGTGTTCGCAAAGTCATCAATAGAAAATGTTTATAGTTGCACTGTTTGGTTAATGTTTCATCTTTTCATAATAAAAGATAGTTTGTGTTTCAAAAAAAAATATTTAAAAAGTAATTAAAATAGGTTACATGATTTGTGTCTTCTTCATAATAAAAATATATTAATAATAAACCCCCCCAATTAATATTTAAAGTTATTTATTTTCATACAAAAATGAATTATATTTGTTTTAAAGTTATGTTATTAAATTAATTGAAAGTATGTCTTTTCAGGAAAAAAAAAATGAACACTACTAGATTTACTCTTCACTATAAATAAATTTATGCCTTTACATAAAACTATTGAACTCTATTAGTTTTCAGAGTTGTATCTTTTCATTTTAAAAAATAATAAACTATCCCAATAAATTTATAAAACAATTTTGTTTTAGAAAATATTTAAATATTTTATTAAGTGTCTTTCTATAATTATATATCTTTTCATTATACAATCAATTTAATTTCTTTACTTGACATAAAAAGTTGGTGGGAGATCATGAACGATTTTTCTGTTGAGAAATGGTAAGACGGTCTATTAATCGTAGGAAGCACAGTTAATGTTAAAACTTATATTTTCATAAAAAACTAAAATGTATTAATTTAAGAGTTGTATTTTCACTATAAAAAAATTGTGTTTTACTAAAAAAATGAATTCTATTAGTTATAACTTTGAAAGCTGTATTTTTTCATTATAAAAATACAATAGTTCAAAAAGTAGTAAAATATCTTAATAATTGTTTTTAACATTTATTAATTTAAGAGTTATGTCTTCTCATTATGAAAGATAAATTAATAATAAAAATTCCCATAAAAGTTAAGAGTTGTATTAGTTTAAGAGTTCTATCTTCTCATTATAAAATAAGTTGTGTCATTTCATTAAAAAAATGGAATGTTAGTTTTAAAAGTTGTATATTAACATTACAAAATACATTAGTTTAGAAGTAGTTAAAATATCTTAAGAGTTTTCCTTTCAATATTATTAGTTTTAAGAGTTATTTTTCGTTATAAAAGAGTTATGTGTTTTAATAAAAAAAAAATGAATACTAATAGTTTTAAGAGTTGTGTCTTTTCACTATAAAAATACATTATTTGAAAAAGTAACTAAAATCTCCCAATAAATGTCATTCTACAATTATTAGTTTTTTTTTAAATATACAAATTTTAGTTTTAAGAATTGTGTATTCTCATTATAAAAGACAAGATCTTTTTTTATTGTTAAAATATCTTATAAGTGCCTCTCTATAATTATGGATCTTTTCATTATGCAATAGAGTGTTTTTTTATTGTAATGAGTGTCTATTCAAAATATATTGTAATGTACTATTTTAAACTAACTATCTCAAAATCGTAATTTTCACATAGATCTATAAAAATCTATAAACAGTCACGTCCATAAGTTCCTCATTGTAAATATTTCACATATGTATTAAAATTGTGAAGAGAAAAATTGTGTGCTT